AGTGACTTTTATTAAGTGACTTTTGTAAGACAAGAAAAAGCCGCTCGTTTAGAGCATTTCCACCCAATTTCCTTTTGTAATGGTAAAAAGGGCCTAGGCTCCAAAAACAACTTCTACTCAAGGAAAAATTGTCGTGGCAAGAAGTGGGTCGTGAAATTGGGCAAGCTCAAGGGCAAAACTTGTCTAGGTTGCTCGCTAGGCAAGTTGACGTCTGTTGAGGCCCAAAAAATCCAAGATTGGGCCCAAATATATTTCTAGCCCAATACGACACCTAACTTGGGAAGAAACCCAACTTGGGTACCCAAGAATTCATCATATACGCTTGCACACGTGCCACGCCAAGCAAATAAGCAACACACCACGCTACAAGCTTAAGTGGGCCCAAGCCACGCGAATGTCTGGGGCTTGCTAAGCGGGTTGTGGTATAGATGGTTACGAGTTTTCATGAAACCTATTGATGAGCCAAGAAATGAAAGTTTTGGGTTGCTTGAGAGCCTCGAAACTCAAGTTCATTTCTTGAGCCCAAATATGTGGGTAAGCATAAAGAAGAGAAAATAGCTCAATACTTTAGGAAAAATAGCCCAATACTCTAGGAAATTAGCCCATTCCCTTAATGGTTAACCCATCACCTTAGAAAGACCCAAGCAACCAAGGAAAATATCTGCATCCTCCAACACTTAGCTGGAAACAAAGGCCACGCAAAAGCCAAGGATTACTCATGTATGCAGGTTGCTGGGAGTCTCCAGCACATGGCCAAGAAATAAACCCAAGGCAAACCACTCGAAGAATCAAAGGATATTAGCGCACGCAGCACCCTTCATACCAACGTTGATACCCATCTTTGTCTCCTACCAACTCTTGCCATGAATATGGGAGGAAAGAAAGAGAGATAGTAACCAAAGATGAGAGATTACCACTAGAACAGTTGCGGGAAGGCTCTATAGCCTCCAAAAATCTTGTCTTTGAGTGCTTGAACTAAGGAAGATTTCACAAAGTAGGGATAAATCAAAGGAAGAGAAGAGAAAGGGAGAGAGCGACTTGGCATATTGGGGAGGAACCATCTAGGGTTTCTTGAGAAGAAGGAGCTTCCAACGCCTATAAAAAAAAAAGGCATTTCCTACCCATCATCACAACCTACATTCAAATAGCAAGCTTTATCTCTCATCCCTGAAATCTCTGCAATTTCGAGCTCTATTCCTCCATCTCCTCCCATTTTCTCTTCTAGTAGATAGTTCCATAGCTTGACAAAGCTTTCATCAAGCTGCCGGAAACTACTTAACACACTCATTATCCCATAATCTCTCTCTCTTCAACGAACCCTCTTAGAATCCCTTCCTCCTTACCTTAAACCCCCTGTTTCTTATAGGAACTCACAACCCTTTATCTCTTTAATGCTAAACTCATGACTGCTTTGCTTCCATGCCACGAGTTTCTCATGCCAAGCTATAATATTTATCTGTAAGCGACTGTTGTTTTTGTTGGTGAAGATAACTAGGATGCTTCCTAAGGCTTCACTACCCTTTCGAAGCATTCTTGGGGTTTGATTCTCGAACTCAGACACAGGGGTGATTTCACCAATTTGCTCCTTACAACATCTCAACCCATTTGTAGCTGTTGGAACGAAAAAGTCCCTATAACGTCATGTTAACGTCAATGTGACCTTAGCAACCAATTTAAAAACCAACAAAATTAAATTTAAAAAAAGGAAAAAATACCAAAAAAATTTTAAAAAAAATTCTATAAATACTTAGCCATGTTCTTCACTTTCCACACCAAAATCCATACAAATTCATCTCCTCATATCCCATGTGAATAGTGGTTGCCTTTGGGTTGCCATGGCAATGGGTGCAAATACATTAAAAAAAATGATATGGTAGTCACTATTCATGTGAATAGTGTGTGCCCTTACTTGCCCTTGTCCTTTGTTATGGCACAACGGGTGTGGAAGTGCTCTTAAGCATCCCATGGGACATAACATAAGATTACCCCCAAAATGACAAATGTAACAAGTAATTTTATTCACAAATCTGCATATACTTAAGTTGCCCTATTTGCATGTTGTCCCCCAAAAAAAACATATAATATAAAAGGAGGAGGTATATATGTTGAGAACTTGAGAGTTTTTGTCTCACATTGAAATGTTGATGGACTTTATAAAGAGTTGGAATACTCCGTCATTGCCAATTGATTTTTGGGTGAAACCTCAACTTTCTCCATGATATCATATCAAAGGCTTCACATGTTGGGCTAAACGGCCTCACAAGCATATAGAATTCATTTTAGACTCTAAATTTTTCATATTAATCTCATTAAATTTCAATGTCTTGAAATGAAAAAAAAATTCTTTTAAAATAAAATCAAATTCATGCTTCCATTTAGAGCAACTCCACCCATTTGCCCTTAGCCATGGCAAGGGGGGGAGCTAGGGCAGCCACTATTCACGTGAATAGTGGTTGCCCTTGCAAAATCAGAATTTTGTGTTTCCACCCATTGCCCTAGCTAAGGGCAGTTACTATTCATTTTTTTGTTTTATTCACAATTTTTTTTACCTCAATAATTAATTTGGATAATATTTTCGGATAAGATTTACGGGTTCCTACGTGTCAACACTATTCATAATCGGATAAAATTTCGGGATAAGATTTTTGGGTTCAAATTTCGGATGAATTTCAAAATTCAAATTTCAGATAAATTTTTGGGTTCAAATTTCGAATGAATTTCAAAATTCAAATTTCGGATGAATTTCAAAATTCAAAATTCAGATGAATTTGGGTTCAAATTTCGGATGAATTTCAAAATTCAAATTTCAGATAAATTTGGGTTCAAATTTCGGATGAATTTCAAATTTCAGATAAGATTTTCATCCAATCAAATCAAGCCACGTGGCATCTCTATCTTGCCAAATTTTTCTATAAAACCAGAGGCTCACATCATACCTCTCACACCACATCTTTCAATATTTTCATTTCTTAGAGTTTAGAATTCATACTCCATTCATTCTCAATGGAAGAATATAAGAGATGTTTGGAGAGGCACGAGAGAGAAAGAAAGGAGAGAAACCGTAGAGCCGATGAAATCAATGAGTTGCAGAGGCAAGTCGATGAGCAAGTTCTCATAGCAGTGGCAATGGAAGAGGAAGAGAACCAAGGTCGCCGCCGTGGTTCACAAGTCGGCCGTCGCCGGAATGTGGACAGACATAGGCATTCTCGGGGTAAGAATCTTTTGGAAGATTATTTTATCCAAACTGCTTTGTACTCTGATGTTGATTTTCGAAGGCGATTTAGAATGCAACCTCATTTGTTCAATAAAGTCATGCATGATATTTGCAATTATGATGCATACTTTGTTCAAAAGTGTGATGCTACTGGGGTTTTGGGCCTTCTTCCGGAGCAAAAGCTTACAGCTGTTATACGAATGTTGGCGTATGGAGCATCTGCTGATCAGGTGGATGAGGTTTCCCGAATGGGGAAGTCCACTACGTTGGAGGCTTTGGTAAGATTTTGTGATGCAGTTGAAAATTTGTACACTAGGGACTACCTGCGTAGACCTACTCCCAGGGACCTCCAACGGCTTCTACAAAAAGCCGAAGCTCGAGGATTTCCAGGAATGATTGGTAGCATCGACTGCATGCATTGGCAATGGAAGAATTGCCCAACTGCCTGGCAAGGTGATTACGGAAATAGAAAAGGCACAAAAAGTATTATCCTGGAAGCCGTTGCTGGCTTCAACACATGGGTTTGGCATGCTTTCTTCGGAGTTGCCGGAGCCCAAAATGACCTCAACGTCCTGGGTCAATCTCCGGTCTTCAACGATGTTTTGAGCGGCCAAGGCCCCAATATTACCTATCAAGTCAACAATACAGTCTACCAGACGGGGTATTATCTAGCTGACGGTATCTACCCAAGGTGGACCACATTTGTCAAATCCATTCCGAATCCCCGATCCCATAAGCAAAAATTATTTGCTACCTATCAAGAAGGATACAGGAAAGATGTCGAAAGGTGTTTTGGCATCCTTCAAGCTCGATGGTTGATTGTTCGAGGTGCGGCCCGTATGTTTGATGAGGAGATCCTCCGAAGCATTATGATGACTTGCATCATCCTCCATAATATGATTGTGGAGGATGAGTACGATTATGATGCTGGAGAGGTCTATGAGCCGGATCCAATAAACACGGCGATGACCCGGATTTATGAAATGCCCATGGGGCCAAATGGAGAACCGTTTGAGCCGGAACCGTTGGTGAGGGACGATCGTATGATGACCCGGATGATAGATCGATATACAGAGATGCAATCTTCGTATATTCATGAAAGCCGTCAACTTGACTTGATAGAGCATATATGGGCGGTGAAAGGGAATGAAGATGAATGATGGAGCATAAATGCTTTGGTTATGTTTTATTTACTTATGGTTTGGTTGTGTTGTTTACTATTGCTTATGGTTTGGTTGTGTTGTTTTTTTATTATTATTGTGCCTTGTTTGTAGTTTTTGTTTTCATTTTAATTATGTTATGTTTGATGTATGGAATATGTTGAATAAAATGGTCTTTTATTGAATGCTTTGTTTATTAAATAAAGAAATCCAATACAAGTCATTAAGAATTACTACTACTAAAATAAAATACATGAAGTACACCAACTTTAATACAAAACATGAAAAATAAAAATACATAAAAGGTATGCCAACTAATTTAATGGTTTTGATCATTTAACCAATCCGTGTTGCTAGGCCCATCATCTTGGAAAAGTCTTCTTCTCATAACATCCCTCCGTTCTAGCTTCCAATATTGTTTTGTTTCGGGGGACATATGACTTGTATCCATTGCCATGGTTTCCCGATCCGTCTTCTGCTGATCTTTTTTGCGCAAATACTCCTTTTCTCGTGAATGTTCGGCTTGAATTGCCACCTCCATATCTTGGCGTTTCTGCTCCATTTCAATTCTTATGGAGTTTTGCCTTGCAATTTCCTCCAAAAACTTTGAATTAAAATTGCTTGAATTACCCGCTTTCTTTGCCTTCGCAGCCTTTCGGCCAATGGGCCTCGGTTCTTTTTGGATGGGGTGAGTCTTCACTCATAGGGGAATCGAGAGGTGAATCCGATGTCGTTGAATCACGAAGAGGCGTCTCGTTTAACACAACGTCGGGACCCGTGGGAATAATTGTGAACCGTTTACAATATTTCACCACCTCCCAACATTCATGATGGGTGAACCTTTTTTTGCCACCCCCGGTTGCACCGAACCACATCTGTGCTTGAATGAGCTATTTAACAAAAAAATGGCAATGCAATAAATATTTAAAATATGTTGGATATGCAAGTAACAAAATAAAATAATGGAAATGCAATTAACCTTACAAATAAATTGGAAGTGCAAGAAATATGAAGAAACAATTGGAAATGCAATAAATATTAACAACATATTGAAAATGCAAGAAATATGAAGAAACAATTGGAAATGCAAGAAATATTAACAACATATTGAAAATGCAAGAAATATTAACAAAATATTGAAAATGCAATAAATATTAACAACATATATATATTAGGACATTAAACTTAATAAAACGAAAATTACAAAATACTTACCTCGTTAGTACGATTTTCCCCACTTCTATACAAGTTCATCGCTTTTGCCAAGGCATCTCTCCATTTTGCCATCTCTTTGTTGAGAAGTTTCCACCTACTCGACAATGCCATTTCCGTACGAGGCGAGTTCGGAATTTTTTCGCAAAATTCGGCATGAATTTTTTTCCACATATGGAAAAATTTCATCTCATTGCCTGTCATGGGACAATGACAAACTCGGAGCCAAGCCTCACACAAAGAAAACATCTTCCATGGTGCTCCACGCCCCTCCGGTTTCAATAGAAGAAGCCATAAAAATAAGAAATAAAAATACAATGTGAAAAAGATGAAAATGTTAAGTGAAGAGTGAAAAAATGTTGAAGAATTGTAGAAGTAGAATAAAATGTATGAGAATTGGTGTTGAAAGTGAAGGGTATTATATAGGAAAAAAAAAAAAAAAAAAATGAAAGTGAAATTTTTTAGTATTTTTTTTTTTAAAATTTCGATTTTTTTTCATAATTTTATTGCTGGAAAATCGGGAGCCGTTGGATGAAGGCTGTGGAATCAAATCGGAGCGCTGGGGGCGTGCCACGTGGCTTCCAGCCGTTGGGCCTGCGTCGCGCTGATGTCAGCGCACGCTGGTTCAAAAATTTTTTACCGTTGGCGCGTGCAATGCACGCGCCAATGGTAAAAAAATTTATATTACCGCGTGTCGACGTCACCCTGACGTCGACATGGCGTCAGCCACCGCGTTTTGAACCTCGGGCAGGACTTGCCTTCAGGCCAGCCCGAGGAGGTGGGTCCCACCCCCCCCCCCCCCCCCCCCCCCGGGCTGGGCTCTGCTGGAAGGCCAATTTTTTTTTTTCCCCTACCCTCGGGCTGGGCTGCACGGGTGGAATAGCTCTTATCTATGAAACAGTAAAAATGCTTTGTCAAAGAGCCCGTACCTCGCTATGCTCTGAACTTGAGTGTAATTAGGAAGGCCGTTGAGTAGTCCAGAGAGAGAGAGAGAGAGAGACAGAGAGAGAGAGGGCCTCCCTGCACTGCCAAATTTCCATCGATGAAAAGGAAAGATATTGCCCATTGCCCAGGCGACAGAAAATGGAGAAATTGTACTACAGAGTTGGTTTTTTGGACCAAGAAAAAGGTCATAGGCAGAGGCCCATAATAGCCCACTATTTTCGGCTTTTAAAATCACCTTTTAGCTATTGTTTGTTTTACCTTTTTTGGGTCGCAACTCTTGTTTATTTACCTTAGAAAGCTCTTTTGAGGTTCTCTGAACTTTGGGCCTTCATATGCTTATTTTCCGAACCTAAATGCTCTATTTCGGCCTCAATGTTCTCTTTTTTTCTTTAATTATTTTTTGGGGGTCAAAACACCTTGTTGAGGCATATATATTTGAGCAGAACATTAGATCATCTCCAACTATGTTGAAGCTAAACTCAAATTTTCACCCTCTAAGACCATCTGCAACCCTTGGGGTGGAAATTCAAATTTTGAGTTTAGCCTTCAAAAACCATCTCCAACTCATGTATTTTGAGAGGTGAAAATTTGAGATGCCTCAACATTGAACTGGAATTCCAGTCAGGATTCTGCCTGGACTGATAAATCTGTGGGGCCCAATTCTGCTTTAATAAATATTTTTTTATTGCATGATGTGAGAAGCCCATCACGTGGGTTGTGTTGCTGGCAAGTGGGAATGAAGATTCCCTCTAGTTTATTGAAAAGCAACGACTATTTTTGGTTTTTTTGTTTTTTTTTTTTTTGCCTTTTTTTTTTTTTTTTTTTTTTTTTTTTTTTTTTTTTTGTTATATTCAACAAACAGCATATCAAAATCAACGATTCAGATTCATTTAGGCAATCTCAACGGTAAAATTTCACATCTAACGGCTCAAATTTAAATCCAATTGTCAAATTAATATTTAATTAATTAATCTAAGTCAGATCTAACCCCAAAATTTATTCCAAACTCTATAAATAGCCATTCATTTAGTAAATAATCCACCAAAAATCATTTGATTCCTTTCTCCCTTTGTTATAATTTTTCATTCTACATTCAATGAAGGGTTCGAATTATTCCGGGCATACGTATGATGTTGTACTTGTTTTTATTTTTAAGTGAAATTCTATTATGTTTTGGAATTTTAATTTTTTTAGGTTAAAATGCTTAGAAAATTAAATCACAAGTATTGAAACAAAAATAATGTCAAGAAAAATTAACAACAAAAAAAAATAGGGGTTAATCATTCTTAAACAATTTAATAAAGTTGCGGACTCAAATTATGAGTCTGCAAGGTTGGAGGAAAAAAAATTTTGAGTCCTGAAAATACATGAATAGTTGTATTTTGGAGGGTGAAAATTTGAGTTTAGCCCCAACATGGTTGGAGATGGTCTAAAATACAACTATTCATGTATTTTTAGGACTCAAATGGTTTTTTTCTCCAACTTTGCCGACTCATAATTTGAATCCGCAACTTTAGTAAATTGTTTAAGAATGGTTAGTCCCTAATTTTTTTTTATCATTAATTTTTTTTGACATTATTTTTGTTTCAACATTCATGATTTAATTTTCTGAACATTTTGATCTAAAAAATTACAAAAATAATTTTATTTAAAGAATAAAAGCAAGTATAACAAAAAGATGGGTATTTATAAAGTTTGAGATAAGTTTTGAGGTTAGATCTAATTTAGATTAATTATAAAAATTATTTGACCATTTGATTTAAATTTCAACTGTTGAATGTGAGTTTTTTTCGTCGAGATTGCCTAAAAATAATCATGGCCATTGATTATATATAGATGTTGGAATTAAAAATAAAATAGTATGGGAAACATCAACTTTTTGGAATAGCTGTTGGTATTTTTTTATATATATAAAAAGATCAGGAGCTTTCAAAATGGAGCCTTGGATTCATCGGCTCTTTCATTTGCCATGACACTTGTCACACGAAAAGGAGGTGAGTGGTCGACAACAGTCTGCAACACATGACCCGCTTTTTTTTCTCCTTTCACATGAGCTGCACAGCTGGCTATTGGGCTCCACATAAAATACCAGTCCATGCAAAATTTGGACTAGAATTCCACCCCAAATTTGACATTTCTCAAATTTCCACCCCCCAAAATACATGGATTGGAAAGAATTTTGGACTCCAAACTAAAAATTTGGGTTTTCACCCCTTGGGTTGGAGATGGCCTAAGGGCATCTCCAATAGGCTATTCCACAACTTTGGAATGCTAAAATAAGTGAGTCACATAATCAAAACCCTCTATAACAGCCTTGTTAAACTTAGTCATCAAATGTGCAACCTCCTTATCTCTCTTCAAGACTTGTAAGTTGACATTGGCTCTTCAAAACATTTATTTTACTTTGAAAAAATAAAACCTACTTTGAAAATCTAAAAACATTCATTTTTTTTCTTTTCAAACAATAAGTATATAGACAATTTTCACATGTTTTCATATTTTTCATTATTTTCGGTAATATTTCATTAATTGAATTGAAGAGTTTGTTGGGGCATAAAAGATTAAAGTAGCCAACAAAACTGCAATTTGAAGAATTTGGTTTGCTACTACAACACATTGTAATGGAGTTTCAGTTTGAATTAGCAGAGCTTCGATGACGTTCAAGCTTTCTTTATTGTACAACTGTTGTTGGGAAATGCATCGACTTCAATAACATCCTTTTCTTAATTAGCATTCAGAAACCACATACTTGGATTGGAAAAAGCATATTCCAATATATAATCTTCATCCAAAGGATTTTAGTATTCAAATCCCAATACTATCCCGGTATTTGGATACTCAATTTCAATGAACAAACAGTCAATATAATTCTGGCAGTTCCAATGCTTCGTCTATTAATTTCCACTTCTGCACTACAATCTAAATCTGTGCTGTGAGTATATATAGCAATGCACCCCTCCAACAAAGCCACGGGGAGAGAACCAACCTAGTAATTTGCACTTCGGATTATCTTATCTCGCCCAGAAAAAATGAAACCAGTTTGAATTGCAAACATGGGAGGAAGCAGAGGCTCTAATAGTAATAGCAATAGACAGGTTGGAAATCAAAATGCTGGCGGTAGTAAGTCGTCCAATGTAGCAGCAAGTGGTGGTGGTGGTGGAGGCAATGCAGCAGGGAATATGAAAGCACCTGGAAGAGATTATGCAATCTCCAGGGAGAGCTTTGAGAGTAACCCAGCTGCCTATTTCAAGGATTTGCGCAAATAGCTAGGAATGAAGTAACTACTTACTCACTACTACTACATGAATAAAAGAGTAGCAGTCTACTACATTGCTGCTTTTATCTATCTTTATGTAATGTCCCTATCTATGTTAATCAAAGTACCCTCATCTTGGTTTTGGGATTAATTACCAATTTAATATTGTGTTTAAGCTTTCTTTCTGCCGTTTTTTCAAAATTCGTTTTACCATAAATTGAAAATGTTTATTACAACTGTAAGCATAAGATTTCATTCTACCCAAAAAGCAAAAACAAACGGGAAAACTTTGGACTCAGCAAAATACTGCAAAACAAAAGAGAACAATCGCTTCGTAAACTTGAAAGGATAATTGACAAGTAAGCTCCTTGTCTGTCTTGTCTCAAAGTGCAACATTCATAGGCACAACATGGGTTATGCCCACTTTATGCACCAAGTACAAGAATCATGGGCAACTGATCTGATCTTCGCAGTTCAAAGTGGTTGTAGCCTAACCTGTACTCCATGTTGTGGACGAACTGTAACAAGATGATGTAAGGGCGAGTGGACATAACCTGGGGAAAGGGTGAAGGCGTAACGTTGTAGAATCATCGACAAAGCAATCTTCACTTCTGTTGTCGCAAAGTTTAAGCCCACACAAATTCGAGGTCCCATTGAAAAGGGTATGAATGCGCCTACATGATTGTTGGTTGCTTTGGCAACCCCTTCCGAGAATCTCTCTGGTTTGAAAAGTTGCACATCTTGTCCCCAGATTTGAGGATCATGGTGAATTGCTACGATTGAGACAACCAATTCAAGATTACTAGGAACAATCAGCTTTCCTAGTCTAACTTCCCTTTCGACGTTCCTTGGAACTTGAACAGCAGGGGGATATAACCTTAGAGTCTCATTGATGATCATACTCATCTGCATCAAAAGAAAAATGGATAACCACATCAGGATCTCAAACTTTATTGAGAACATATTTCTGCCATCTAGACAAGTTTCTTACTGTTGTCAGTTTGCCAATGCCATCAAGATTTGGAGTTTGTTTGCCAAATAATTGTAGCACCTCCTTTCTTGCTTCCTCTTGCCAATCCGTATGGAGTGCCAGAAGAAAAACAGTCCAACAAAGCAAAGTATTAGTGGTTTCTTGTCCGGCAAAGTAAAACGTCTTGCATTCATCAATTATCTCCTGCACCGAAATCCTCTGGTTCTCATTGGCTTCATGATTAGCCTTCAGAAGTAATCCAAGAAAATCACTCCCAAAGCTGTCGTTTTCTCCAGTCATTGTCTTCTTTTCTCTTTTCTTAACCATCTCTATTATGGAGGCATGGATTCCTTTCTCAAGTTTTTCCGATTCGATCTCATCGCTGGTTTTGAAGAGCTTACTGCAACATTGAATGAAAGACTAAAAATGAGAGAACAGAATTAACTCTCTAAAAATTTCTTATTTCTTCTCTTCAATTGGAATATTAGAAGTACTAAGTTACCTGATGCCAGGAACCCTGACTTTGAAAACATTTTTGTATATTAGGAAGCCTAACTTCCTCAACATTTCAAATATGTCCTGTCCTTCTGAATAGCTGCTGCCAAATGCTGTTCTCGAAATCACTTCCGAAGTGAACAATCTAAACTCTTCAAACACCTCAATCTCTTTTCCTTCATAAACTTTCCACCTTTCTACCATCTTCTCAGCACTGGCTACCATATCTGGAATCATACTCTGGTAAAACAATAATACCATCATGCTATTAGCAGACTTTTGCCTTCAACTTATTCTTTTCATGTTTAAATAGTTGACAGAGCTATTACTATAATACTCTTTGCAACAAAGTACCAGAAACTTAATAACTTACTTTTAAACTCTCTCCATGGAAAGCATGGGTGGCCAGCTTTCGCAATTTTGCCCATTTTTCAGCTTTGTTTGTTGCCACAAGGCCATCTCCCAATAGCTTCTTCGAAAGGTTTGGGGCTCTCTTTTCAGATAAGCTCTGCCTTTGTTATTTAGTATCTCTTTGCACAACTCAGGTTCTGTTATGACCAACTGAGCTCGAGAACCATGCCATTGAAGATAATTCTTCCCTGTAATTGCATGCAAAAATGACCAAAACTTATCTTGTTTAGAACTTAGATTTAAATAACAATAGTTAACTAATTGAGATGGCTTGTTATTTTGTTACCATATATGTTGGTCCACAAGTGAACGTGAGGTTGAACTACAGAAAATATGTCGTGTGATAAAATGTGAGGCCTGGCCATGACTTCCTTTTTCATGTTGGAGATTTCTTTGGTGTTTCCATGGATGAATCTGTAAGAAGGGCCTTTGATCCCCTGCAAAGCCATCACCTTCTGTATGTGAATCGGAGTCCACCATAGTTTGTGAAGGATCTTGATGAAAGCTAAGACAAGGAGCAGACACAGAGAGCTTGGAAGAATGATTATTAGGCCTCCCAAAGTAGTCATTTTGGGGGTATTGTTTTTCTCTTCGGCTATCTCTCTCTCCTTTTCTGAATGAACCTTACCGAGTTTTAAAGCTTTTCTTGCTCCTGATTGTTTAGAAAAAAAGTCAAGAAAAAACCAATCTGGTCATGTTGCTTCTGTTTGTTAGTTTGTCCTGCTAGTTACTACAATCCAAAGGGCAAATATGGTAGTGACTCTCATTGAAACCTTAAGCTGCTATTTGTTGACTTTTGATACATCATGGTAGACTTCATGTTGGAATTTATCTCCCGGCTTCGTCACCAATGACATTAGTATTACCAGATGATTTTCTTTCATGCCTTTTTCTCAACTTTAACAGAGAGACTAGAGCTTCCATATGAAAATTTTGGTTTGAAAAATAGTAATCAACCTCCGGGCGGATCCGCTGCCCCCATTTTCTATGTCCCTTCATGTCACTAATGTTTCATATCCGTTCCCATCAAGCTATTTGGTCGAAGATCTCTGGGCCTTCATATTCTTCTTTTGCGGGCCCAAATTGTTTGCGTTGATTCTATTTCAGCCTCGTAGTTCTTTTCTTTTTTCTTCTTTTTTTGGATCAAAACCCCTTGTTGATGGAGGTATCGGATATTTGAGCAAGAAATTATAGTCTAGTTTGCAGGACTTTCGATGACGTTCAAGCTTTCTTTATTGTACAATTGTTGTTGGGAAATGCCATCCTTTTCGTAATTAGACATTCCGTCAGAAAGGAAACCACATACTTGGATTGGAAACACCATATTTCATCCAAGTATTCAAATCCCAATCCTATCACGGTAATTGGAAAACTCAAGTTCAATGAACAAACAGTCAATAATATTCTGGCAGTTCCAATGCTTCTTCTATTCATTTCCACTTTTGACTCTTCTAATTCTTAGAACCAAACTGATGCACTACAATCTGAATCTGCGTGTATATATAGCAATGCAGCCCTCCAACTAAGCCACAGAACCAAGCCAACTGAGTAATTTTGCACTTTGGATTATCTTACCCGACCAAAAACAGAAACCAGAAAAGCATTTTGGTTTGCAAAGATGGGAGGTAGCAAAGGGTCTAATGGTAACAGTAATAGCCAGGTGAGAAACCAAAATGCTGGTGGTGGAGCCAATTCATCCAATGTAGGAGTGGCAAGTGGTGGTGGTGGTGGTGGTGGTGGTGGTGGAGGCAATGCAGCAGGGAATATGAAAGCACCTGGAAGAGATTATACAATCACCAGGGAGAGCTTTGAGAGCAACCCAGCTGCCTATTTCAAGGATTTGCGCAAATAACTTCTACTTAGTCTCACTACTATTTGAATAAAAAATGAGTAGTAGTGAATTGCTGCTTTTGTTTGTTAATCTATCAATCTATCCATCTATCTATCTATTTTATGTAATGTCCCTATCTATGTTAATCAAAGTACCCTCATCTTGGATTTTACATCCAACAACCGAACAAAGAAGGCTGACATAATAGCATTCAGTAGTGAGACAGCAAACAAGGCACAAGGAATTCACTAACATGTCCGCTTGGGTATTTTCTCAAACTCCACATGTATTGCTTTGTTTTGATCTGGGTATGAAAGGTGGGCAAATGGTGATATTTAGCACATCGAGGCTATGGAGATTACCTACGCGGGGCATGGAGGAAGGGAGATGTAGAATTTGGGGTACTGTGCAATTCATAATTATTATATTAAAATAATAATATTTTAAATAAATGTAATTATTAGAAGGGTTATTCGTAGCAATGGTCCCTCAACTATACCCGTAGTTACCGTTTGGTCACTCAATTCAATTATTAGTTGCAGAGGTCACTCAATTGGCTGTTGTGTTGCACCATTAGTGATGTAGAACAGATTGAAGATTTTATCGCGGTTGAGCAAGAAAAGGGACGTGGTGGGAATTTGCAGAATTGTCGTCCGAGCTTCGATTAGGGCGCAAAATACCATTTCGGAAAGGGAACGATGCCACGAGTCAAACTCATAGCTTTGCTGTGATGTACGATGGATTTTGGCATTCTGGAGTCGTTTGGCCTTTCAAACTGCAGTCAAAGTTCGAAGTTAATTCTAAATAAATTCTGTTTTTCCGTTTCGGAGTTACATAGTTAATTCCCAAAATAAATTCTGTTTTTTTCAGTTTCGGAGTTACATAGTTAAGTCTCCGAATTTTTTGTTATCATTAATTTTTCTTGACATTATTTTTGTTTCAACATTCATGATTTAATTTTCTGAACATTTTGATCTAAAAATTACAAAAATAATTTTATTTAAAGAATAAAAGCAAGTATAACAAAAAGATGGGTATTTATAAAGTTTGAGATGAGTTTTGAGGTTAGATGTAATTTAGATTAATTATAAAAATATTTGACCATTTGATTTAAATTTTAACCGTTGAATGTGAGTTTTTTTCGTCGAGATTGCCTAAAAATAATCATGGCCATTGATTATATATAGATGTTGGAATTAAAAATAAAATAGTATGGGAAACATCAACTTTTTGGAATAGCTGTTGGTATTTTTTTATATATATAAAAAGGATCAGGAGCTTTCAAAATGGAGCCTTGGATTCATCGGCTCTTTCATTTGCCATGACACTTGTCACACGAAAAGGAGGTGAGTGGTCGACATCAATCTGCAGCACATGGCCTGCTTTTTTTTCTCCTTTCACATGGGCTGCACAGCTGGCTATTGGGCTCCACATAAAATACCAGTCCATGCAAAATTTGGACTAGAATTCCACCCCAAATTGACATTTCTCAAATTTCCACCCCCCAAAATACATGGATTGGAAAGAATTTTGGACTCCAAACTAAAAATTTGGGTTTTCACCCCTTGGGTTGGAGATGGCCTAAGGGCATCTCCAATAGGCTATTCCACAACTTTGGAATGCTAAAATAAGTGAGTCACATAATCAAAACCCTCTATAACAGCCTTGTTAAACTTAGTCATCAAATGTGCAACCTCCTTATCTCTCTTCAAGACTTGTAAGTTGACATTGGCTCTTCAAAACATTTATTTTACTTTGAAAAATAAAACCTACTTTGAAAATCTAAAAACATTCATTTTTTTCTTTTCAAACAATAAGTATATAGACAATTTTCACATGTTTTCATATTTTTCATTATTTTCGGTAATATTTCATTAATTGAATTGAAGAGTTTGTTGGGGCATAAAAGATTAAAGTAGCCAACAAAACTGCAATTTGAAGAATTTGGTTTGCTACTACAACACATTGTAATGGAGTTTCAGTTTGAATTAGCAGAGCTTCGATGACGTTCAAGCTTTCTTATTGTACAACTGTTGTTGGGAAATGCATCGACTTCAATAACATCCTTTTCTTAATTAGCATTCAGAAACCACATACTTGGATTGGAAAAAGCATATTCCAATATATAATCTTCATCCAAAGGATTTTTAGTATTCAAATCCCAATACTATCCCGGTATTTGGATACTCAATTTCAATGAACAAACAGTCAATATAATTCTGGCAGTTCCAATGCTTCGTCTATTAATTTCCACTTCTGCACTACAATCTAAATCTGTGCTGTGAGTATATATAGCAATGCACCCCTCCAACAAAGCCACGGGGAGAGAACCAACCTAGTAATTTGCACTTCGGATTATCTTATCTCGCCCAGAAAAAATGAAACCAGTTTGAATTGCAAACATGGGAGGAAGCAGAGGCTCTAATAGTAATAGCAATAGACAGGTTGGAAATCAAAATGCTGGCGGGAGTAAGTCGTCCAATGTAGCAGCAAGTGGTGGTTTTGGGATTAATTACCAATTTACTACATGAATAAAAGAGTAGCAGTCTACTACATTGCTGCTTTTTTCTATCTTTATGTAATGTCCCTATCTATGTTAATCAAAGTACCCTCATCTTGGTTTTGGGATTAATTACCAATTTCATATTGTGTTTAAGCTTTCTTTCTGCCGTTTTTTCAAAATTCGTTTTACCATAAACTGAAAATGTTTATTACAACTGTAAGCATAAGATTTCATTCAACAAAAAAAAAAAAAAAAAAAAAAAAAAAAAACAAACAAACAAAAAGGAAAAAAACAGCAAAATGGACTGCAAAAACAAAAAAGAGAACGATCGCTTCGTAAACTTGAAAGGATAATTGACAAGTAAGCTCCTTGTCTGTCTTGTCTCAAAGTGCAACATTCATAGGCACAACATGGGTTATGTCCAATTTATGCACCAAGTACAAGAATCATGGGCAACTGATCTGATCTTCGCAGTTCAAAGTGGTTGTAGCCTAACCTGTACTCCATGTTGTGGACGAACTGTAAGAAGATGTAAGGGCGAGTGGACATAACCTGGGGGAAAGGGTGAAGGCGTAACGTTGTAGAATCATCGACAAAGCAATCTTCACTTCTGTTGTCGCAAAGTTTAAGCCCACACAAATTCGAGGTCCCATTGAAAAGGGTATGAATGCGCCTACATGATTGTTGGTTGCTTTGGCAACCCCTTCCGAGAATCTCTCTGGTTTGAAAAGTTGCACATCTTGTCCCCATATTTGAGGATCATGGTGAAGTGCTACGATTGAGACATCCAATTCAAGATTACTAGGAACAATCAGCTTTCCTAGTCTAACTTCCCTTTCGACTCTCCTTTGAACTTGAACAGCAGGGGGATATAACCTTAGAGTCTCATTGATGATCATACTCATCTGCATCAAAAAGAAAAATGGATTACCAAATCAGGATCTCGAACTTTATTGAGAACATATTTCTGCCATCTAGACAAGTTTCTTACTGTTGTCAGTTTGCCAATGCCATCAAGATTTGGAGTTTGTTTGCCAAATAATTGTAGCACCTCCTTTCTTGCTTCCTCTTGCCAATCCGTATGGAGTGCCAGAAGAAAAACAGTCCAACAAAGCAAAGTATTAGCGGTTTCTTGTCCGGCAAAGTAAAACGTCTTGCACTCATCAATTATCTCCTGCACCGAAATCCTCTGGTTCTCATTGGCTTCATGATTAGCCTTCAGAAGTAATCCAAGAAAATCACTCCCAAAGCTGTCGTTTTCTCCAGTCATTGTCTTCTTTTCTCTTTTCTTAACCATCTCTATTATGGAGGCATGGATTCCTTTCTCAAGTTTTTCCGATTCGATCTCATCGCTGGTTTTGAAGAGCTTACTGCAACATTGAATGAAAGACTAAAAATGAGAGAACAGAATTAACTCTCTAAAAATTTCTTATTTCTTCTCTTCAATTGGAATATTAGAAGTACTAAGTTACCTGATGACAGGAACCCTGACTTTGAGAATATTTTTGAATATTAGGAAGCCTAACTTCCTCAACATTTCAAATATGTCCTGTCCTTCTGAATAGCTGCTGCCAAATGCTGTTCTCGAAATCACTTCCGAAGTGAACAATCTAAACTCTTCAAACACTTCAATCTCTTTTCCTTCATAAACTTTCCACCTTTCTACCATCTTTTCAGCACTGGCTACCATATCTGGAATCATACTCTGGTAAAACAATAATACCATCATGCTATTAGCAGACTTTTGCCTTCAACTTATTCTTTTCATGTTTAAATAGTTGACAGAGCTATTACTATAATACTCTTTGCAACAAAGTACCAGCAACTTAATAACTTACTTTTAAACTCTCTCCATGGAAAGCATGGGTGGCCAGCTTTCGCAATTTTGCCCATTTTTCAGCTTTGTTTGTTGCCACAAGGCCATCTCCAAATAGCTTCTTCGAAATGTTTGGGGCCTCTCTTTTTGGATAAGCTCTGCCTTTGTTATTTAGTATCTCTTTGCACAACTCAGGTTCTGTTATGACCAACTGAGCTCGAGAACCATGCCATTGAAGATAATCTTCCCTATAATTGCATGCAAAAATGAGCAAAACTTATCTTGTTTAGAACATAGATTTAAATAACAATAGTTAACTAATTGAGATGGCTTGTTATTTTGTTACCATATATGTTGGTCCACGAGTGAACGTGAGGTTGAACTACAGAAAATATGTCGTGTGATAAAATGTGAGGCCTGCCCATGACTTCCTTTTCCATGTTGGAGATTTCTTTGGTATTTCCATAGATGAATCTGTAAGAAGGGCCCTTGATTCCCTGCAAAGCCATCACCTTCTGTATGCGAATCGGAGTCCACCATAGTTTGTGAAGGATCTTGATGAAAGCTAAGACAAGGAGCAGACACAGAAAGCTTGGAAGAATGATTATTAGGCCTCCCAAAGTAGTCATTTTGGGGGTATTGTTTTTCTCTTCGGCTATCTCTCTCTCCTTTTCTGAATGAACCTTACCGAGTTTTTAAAGCTTTTCTTGCTCCTGATTGTTTAGAAAAAAAGTCAAGGAAAAACCAATGTGGTCATGTTGCTTCTGTTTGTTAGTTTGTCCTGGTAGTTACTACAATCCAAAGGGCAAATATGGTAGTGACTCTCATTGAAACCTTAAGCTGCTATTTGTTGACTTTTGATACATCATGGTAGACTTCATGTTGGAATTTATCTCCCGGCTTCGTCACCAATGACATTAGTATTACCAGATGATTTTCTTTCATGTCTTTTTCTCAACTTTAACAGAGAGACTAGAGCTTCCATATGAAAATTTTGCTTTGAAAAATAGTAATCAACCTCGGGCGGATCCGCTGCCCCCATTTTCTATGTCCCTTCATGTCACTAATGTTTCATATCCGTTCCCATCAAGCTATTTGGTCGAAGATCTCTGGGCCTTCATATTCTTCTTTTGCGGGCCCAAATTGTTTGCGTTGATTCTATTTCGGCCTCGTAGTTCTTTTCTTTTTTTCTTCTCTTTTGGATCAAAACCCCTTGTTGATTGAGGTATCGGATATCTGAGCAAGAAATTATAATGTAGTTTGCAGGACTTTCGATGACGTTCAAGCTTTCTTTATTGTACAATTGTTGTTGGGAAATGCCATCCTTTTCGTAATTAGACATTCCGTCAGAAAGGAAACCACATACTTGGATTGGAAACACCATACTTCATCCAAGTATTCAAATCCCAATCCTATCACGGTAATTGGAAAACTCAAGTTCAATGAACAAACAGTCAATAGTATTCTGGCAGTTCCAATGCTTCTTCTATTCATTTCCACTTTTGACTCTTTTAATTCTTAGAACCAAACTGATGCACTACAATCTGAATCTGTGTGTTTATATAGCAATGCAGCCCTCCAACTAAGCCACATAACCAAGCCAACTGAGTAATTTTGCACTTTGGATTATCTTACCTGACCAAAAACAGAAACCAGAAAAGCATTTTGGATTGCAAAGATGGGAGGCAGCAAAGGGTCTAATGGTAACAGTAATAGCCAGGTAGGAAACCAAAATGCTGGTGGTGGAGGCAAGTCATCCAATGTAGGAGGAGCAAGTGGTGGCGGTGGTGGTGGAGGCAATGCAGCAGGGAATATGAAAGCACCTGGAAGATATTATACAATCACCAGGGAGAGCTTTGAGAGCAACCCAGCTGCCTATTTCAAGGATTTGCGCAAATAACTTCTACTTAGTCTCACTACTATTTGAATAAAAAATGAGTAGTAGTGAATTGCTGCTTTGTTTGTTAATCTATCAATCTATCCATCTATCTATCTATTTTATGTAATGTCCCTATCTATGTTAATCAAAGTACCCTCATCTTGGATTTTACATCCAACAACCGAACAAAGAAGGCTGACATAATAGCATTCAGTAGTGAGACAGCAAACAAGGCACAAGGAATTCACTAACATGTCCGCTTGGGTATTTTCTCAAACTCCATATGTATTGCTTTGTTTTGATCTGGGTATGAAAGGTGGGCAAATGGTGATATTTAGCACATCGAGGCTATGGAGATTACCCACGCGGGGCATGGAGGAAGGGAGATGTAGAATTTGGGGTACTGTGCAATTCATAATTATTAGATTAAATAATAATATTTGAATAAATGTAATTATTAGAAGGGTTATTCGTAGCAATAGTCCCTCAACTATACCCGTAGTTACCGTTTGGTCACTCAATTCAATTATTAGTTGCAGAGATCACTCAATTGGCTGTTGTATTGCACCATTAGTCCTTCCGTCAAACTCTGTTAAATTTACTGTCAAAGGTGAGGGTAAGTTTGGAAATTCATCCACAACCCTCCCTCTCCTCCACAACCCTCCCCTTCCTCCACAACCCTCTCTCTCTCTCTCTCTCTCTCTCTCTCTCTCTCTTTGAGTGAACTCAAACAGCCACTATAGCAGCATTTTTCACTTCTGCACTACAATCCAAATCTGTGCTGTGAGTATATATAGCAATGCACCCCTCCAACAAAGCCACGGGGAGAGAACCAACCTAGTAATTTGCACTTCGGATTATCTTATCTCGCCCAGAAAAAATGAAACCAGTTTGAATTGCAAACATGGGAGGAAGCAGAGGCTCTAATAGTAATAGCAATAGACAGGTTGGAAATCAAAATGCTGGCGGGAGTAAGTCGTCCAATGTAGCAGCAAGTGGTGGTGGTGGTGGAGGCAATGCAGCAGGGAATATGAAAGCACCTGGAAGAGATTATGCAATCTCCAGGGAGAGCTTTGAGAGTAACCCAGCTGCCTATTTCAAGGATTTGCGCAAATAGCTAGGAATGAAGTAACTACTTACTCACTACTACTACATGAATAAAAGAGTAGCAGTCTACTACATTGCTGCTTTTATCTATCTTTATGTAATGTCCCTATCTATGTTAATCAAAGTACCCTCATCTTGGTTTTGGGATTAATTACCAATTTCATATTGTGTTTAAGCTTTCTTTCTGCCGTTTTTTCAAAATTCGTTTTACCATAAACTGAAAATGTTTATTACAACTGTAAGCATAAGATTTCATTCTACCCAAAAAAAAACAAACAAACAGGAAAACCATGGACTCAGCAAAATACTGCAAAACAAAAGAGAATGATCGCTTCGTAAACTTGAAAGGATAATTGACAAGTAAGCTCCTTGTCTGTCTTGTCTCAAAGTGCAACATTCATAGGCACAACATGGGTTATGTCCAATTTATGCACCAAGTACAAGAATCATGGGCAACTGATCTGATCTTCGCAGTTCAAAGTGGTTGTAGCCTAACCTGTACTCCATGTTGTGGACGAACTGTAAGAAGATGTAAGGGCGAGTGGACATAACCTGGGGAAAGTGTGAAGGCGTAACGTTGTAGAATCATCGACAAAGCAATCTTCACTTCTGTTGTCGCAAAGTTTAAGCCCACACAAATTCGAGGTCCCATTGAAAAGGGTATGAATGCGCCTACATGATTGTTGGTTGCTTTGGCAACCCCTTCTGAGAATCTCTCTGGTTTGAAAAGTTGCACATCTTGTCCCCAGATTTGAGGATCATGGTGAAGTGCTACGATTGAGACATCCAATTCAAGATTACTAGGAACAATCAGCTTTCCTAGTCTAACTTCCCTTTCGACTCTCCTTACAACTGAACAGCAGGGGGATATAACCTTAGAGTCTCATTGATGATCATACTCATCTGCATCAAAAAGAAAAATGGATAACCAAATCAGGATCTCAAACTTTATTGAGAACATATTTCTGCCATCTAGACAAGTTTCTTACTGTTGTCAGTTTGCCAATGCCATCAAGATTTGGAGTTTGTTTGCCAAATAATTGTAGCACCTCCTTTCTTGCTTCCTCTTGCCAATCCGTATGGAGTGCCAGAAGAAAAACAGTCCAACAAAGCAAAGTATTAGCGGTTTCTTGTCCGGCAAAGTAAAACGTCTTGCACTCATCAATTATCTCCTGCACCGAAATCCTCTGGTTCTCATTGGCTTCATGATTAGCCTTCAGAAGTAATCCAAGAAAATCACTCCCAAAGCTGTCGTTTTCTCCAGTCATTGTCTTCTTTTCTCTTTTCTTAACCATCTCTATTATGGAGGCATGGATTCCTTTCTCAAGTTTTTCCGATTCGATCTCATCGCTGGTTTTGAAGAGCTTACTGCAACATTGAATGAAAGACTAAAAATGAGAGAACAGAATTAACTCCCTAAAAATTTCTTATTTCTTCTCTTCAATTGGAATATTAGAAGTACTAAGTTACCTGATGACAGGAACCCTGACTTTGAGAATATTTTTGATATTAGGAAGCCTAACTTCCTCAACATTTCAAATATGTCCTGTCCTTCTGAATAGCTGCTGCCAAATGCTGTTCTCGAAATCACTTCCGAAGTGAACAATCTAAACTCTTCAAACACCTCAATCTCTTTTCCTTCATAAACTTTCCACCTTTCTACCATCTTCTCAGCACTGGCTACCATATCTGGAATCATACTCTGGTAAAACAATAATACCATCATGCTATTAGCAGACTTTTGCCTTCAACTTATTCTTTTCATGTTTAAATAGTTGACAGAGCTATTACTATAATACTCTTTGCAACAAAGTACCAGCAACTTAATAACTTACTTTTAAACTCTCTCCATGGAAAGCATGGGTGGCCAGCTTTCGCAATTTTGCCCATTTTTCAGCTTTGTTTGTTGCCACAAGGCCATCTCCAATAGCTTCTTCGAAATGTTTGGGGCCTCTCTTTTGGATAAGCTCTGCCTTTGTTATTTAGTATCTCTTTGCACAACTCAGGTTCTGTTATGACCAACTGAGCTCGAGAACCATGCCATTGAAGATAATTCTTCCCTGTAATTGCATGCAAAAATGAGCAAAACTTATCTTGTTTAGAACTTAGATTTAAATAACAATAGTTAACTAATTGAGATGGCTTGTTATTTTGTTACCATATATGTTGGTCCACGAGTGAACGTGAGGTTGAACTACAGAAAATATGTCGTGTGATAAAATGTGAGGCCTGCCCATGACTTCCTTTTCATGTTGGAGATTTCTTTGGTATTTCCATAGATGAATCTGTAAGAAGGGCCCTTGATCCCCTGCAAAGCCATCACCTTCTGTATGCGAATCGGAGTCCACCATAGTTTGTGAAGGATCTTGATGAAAGCTAAGACAAGGAGCAGACACAGAAAGCTTGGAAGAATGATTATTAGGCCTCCCAAAGTAGTCATTTTGGGGGTATTGTTTTTCTCTTCGGCTATCTCTCTCTCCTTTTCTGAATGAACCTTACCGAGTTTTTAAAGCTTTTCTTGCTCCTGATTGTTTAGAAAAAAAGTCAAGAAAAAACCAATCTGGTCATGTTGCTTCTGTTTGTTAGTTTGTCCTGCTAGTTACTACAATCCAAAGGGCAAATATGGTAGTGACTCTCATTGAAACCTTAAGCTGCTATTTGTTGACTTTTGATACATCATGGTAGACTTCATGTTGGAATTTATCTCCCGGCTTCGTCACCAATGACATTAGTATTACCAGATGATTTTCTTTCATGCCTTTTTCTCAACTTTAACAGAGAGACTAGAGCTTCCATATGAAAATTTTGGTTTGAAAAATAGTAATCAACCTCCGGGCGGATCCGCTGCCCCCATTTTCTATGTCCCTTCATGTCACTAATGTTTCATATCCGTTCCCATCAAGCTATTTGGTCGAAGATCTCTGGGCCTTCATATTCTTCTTTTGCGGGCCCAAATTGTTTGCGTTGATTCTATTTCGGCCTCGTAGTTCTTTTCTTTTTTTCTTCTTTTTTGGATCAAAACCCCTTGTTGATGGAGGTATCGGATATTTGAGCAAGAAATTATAGTCTAGTTTGCAGGACTTTCGATGACGTTCAAGCTTTCTTTATTGTACAATTGTTGTTGGGAAATGCCATCCTTTTCGTAATTAGACATTCCGTCAGAAAGGAAACCACATACTTGGATTGGAAACACCATATTTCATCCAAGTATTCAAATCCCAATCCTATCACGGTAATTGGAAAACTCAAGTTCAATGAACAAACAGTCAATAATATTCTGGCAGTTCCAATGCTTCTTCTATTCATTTCCACTTTTGACTCTTCTAATTCTTAGAACCAAACTGATGCACTACAATCTGAATCTGCGTGTATATATAGCAATGCAGCCCTCCAACTAAGCCACAGAACCAAGCCAACTGAGTAATTTTGCACTTTGGATTATCTTACCCGACCAAAAACAGAAACCAGAAAAGCATTTTGGATTGCAAAGATGGGAGGCAGTAAAGGGTCTAATGGTAACAGTAATAGCCAGGTGAGAAACCAAAATGCTGGTGGTGGAGCCAATTCATCCAATGTAGGAGTGGTGGCAGTGGTGGTGGTGGAGGCAATGCAGCAGGGAATATGAAAGCACCTGGAAGAGATTATACAATCACCAGGGAGAGCTTTGAGAGCAACCCAGCTGCCTATTTCAAGGATTTGCGCAAATAGCTTCTACTTAGTCTCACTACTATATGAATAAAAAATGAGTAGTAGTCTATTGCTGCTTTTGTTTGTTAATCTATCAATCTATCCATCTATTTTATGTAATATCCCTATCTATGCTAATCAAAGTACCCTCATCTTGGATTTTACATCCAACAACCGAACAAAGAAGGCTGACATAATAGCATTCAATAGTGAGACAGCAAACAAGGCACAAGGAATTCACCCAAGAATGAAAAAATATAAACAGGGCACAACCAGGGAGGAATTTTAAACTTCTGCATAAGAGTTAACTCTGTTGCTTTACATAAAAATAATATAAAGAATTTCCTTGCCAAGTTGGCCAAAAACAAAGCAAATCCCCCTTTATTTATGCTTGGACATTTGTAATACAATGGAGAGCAGGTCTCGGCCGGCAATGATAGAAGCCTGGAACAACCTATGTTACTTCATTATTCTATGCCTTAACCAATATTTATGACCTGGTAGTGTAAATTGGTCGGAAGAAACAAACATCAAAATATTGCACTAAACTGTTAAATAATTTAATATTGCCGGCCAGAATGAGATGCATATTGTTTTTTAAAGTCCAATATTTTTAATCATCTCCTCAGGCCTTTATATGTCTTGAGTAGTTAGAGCCCAAACACCCGACCCTGTTTGAGAACTGGTTCTCTTGGAACATTCTCTGCTATGGCTTCTTTTTCATAGAAGAATTTGTTGGGGAGGGAGTTCTGAAAGTGCTGCTTCCAAAGCTGTTGGAAGAAGGCTGGGATGATGTGCCAACCTTAAAAATCATGAATACAGATGATATGGATGCATTAGCATGACACCAGCTAGAGAAGGTTGGTTATCTGGAGTCTTTTTCATCGTCTGTCATTTTTCTGCAGCATATGCTATCTAAAACCAATCTCCCACTTCCTCTGGCTCATAAATATAATTTTATAGTTTTATTTATTTATTTCAGAAATCACTCCCTAATCTCTGAACATTATGTATGAATCTACAAAAACATGTCTTATAGTTTGGTTTGTTTTACGTATCACAGAAAAGAATCAACATATATACATATGAATCTGCCTCTAAGTCATTTCTTTTGTGTGTACTCTAGGATGCACTGGAAATCAGGTCATACCTGCATGACCGTGCTTTGATGCAATATGGTGATAGGATCGAGTCCGTGGGAAATGTCTGTCTGAGCTCCTTAACTTAAGCCCCGGAGATCTTTCTTCCCAGTTTGGCATGAAGCGAGGTCATGTTGCCCGTTTTATGGACAGAACCAGTGCTTGTGCAGATCACCTACCAAACTCGCATCCTTCCCTTGCAACAGAAAAATTAGCTTACTTTCGAAAAATACTAGCATTCAAAGGAGTTTTCAATCTGTAAACTCTCAGAAGTTTCATAGTAAATTACCAACAAGAAATAGTTCAACCAATAGCAAATCTCTGCAACAATCACTGGCCAGTTTTAAGATTAAGGATGGATACATTTTCAAAGGGATAGTTTCTATGGAGCCAGCTGAACCTAGAGCATGTGGTTGTGTACAACCTCCTCCTGTAGTTGAAAAAGTTGCTCCATACTCTACCATTGAAAACATCTCAATTCAGAAGCTAACTCCAGAGTATAAGATGGGGATGGAGCATTTGGTGAAAACCAAAACACCTCCAATGAAGGCTTCGGAACTGTGGCGAAACAAACCAGCGGTCCTTCTCTGCATCCGACGTCCAGGGTAATTCTTATACACTGCATTAAAGCATGGCTTTATTTCACAGAGCCTGGTTTTGTCCATTATACTAAATGATAAACTTTTCAGTCATGAACTCAGACAAGTAGGGGGGGGTTTTGTTGATCAATACTTTTTTACAGGGGTGTACTAAGTAAATACAAGACAGAGATTCACAAATTAAAACAAAGATCACATGATGAAGGTATATTGATATAGGATGATAACCTTGTCTTAAACTACAAAAAGATGTAAATAAAACAAACAAAACTAGGTACGACCTTGAAAAGCTGGCTCGACTATACTGTGAGATATAGAGTTTTCCATAAGATATCTTTAAGTCCACTTCAAAGTATGAGCATCTTTCTTGAAACTAACTATTATTTGAATTTGAAACAGGTGCATCATGTGTAGGGCTGAAGCTCACCAGCTATATGCCAAAAAACCCATTTTTGATTCACTGGGAATTCAACTATTTGCAGTTCTTCATGAGCATATGGAGTCAGAGGTATAACTAACTACACTTCAACTTCTTCCTCTTACCTTCAACTTTGGATGATGTGTTATTTTGATGCTGCAGATAAAGGACTTCTGGCCTCGATACTGGGGTGGTGTTGTATTGTTTGATCGCGGAATGGAATTCTTCAAAGCACTTGGTGGAGGGAAACTGCTCAAGGGAAAAATTCCTATCAGGTTTTTTTTTCAATCCTCGAGCCATAGCAAATTACAAGCGTGCAAAAGCTATGGGAATAAAACAAAACTTCAAAGGAGAAGGTGAAATTAAGGGGGGACTCTTTGTAGTTGGCAGTGGAAGGAGTGGCATTGCATACCAGTTTATTGAGAGGAACTTTGGTGATTGGGCACCTCCAGCTGAAGTCATTGAGATCTGTACTCGTTGCAGCAGGTAACTATTCTTGTTGGACTTTCTAATTCTTCCCAGAGTCTGCATCAGTGATAAATCTTATATTTAACAGCTCATTTTTAACCTAATGCAGAACCGACATGAAGGTCATAAAGAGTCCAATACAAGATCACAGCAATCTGAATGAAAGTTAGATTAGGTTGCAATTATCAGCCCATCCCTGAGATTCTCAACTTGCATTCTTTGTTTGATTGTGTATTTTATGGTTCAGCTATTGTTGATCAAGTTTTGGACATTGACGAATAATTTTCCGTCTTTGTGTGATTGTGTATTTTACGGTTAACCACTTCTGGTCTTTAACAACCTAAATTCTTCAAACACCTCAATCTCTTTGCCTTTATGATTTTTTCACCTCTCTAGCATTGTCTCAGCAGCTAGCTACCGTTACTGGAATGATTCTGTTCTTATTAAAATTGTTGATGCATCTATTTCTATTCTTGAATAGTTGCTTCTGAAGCACAGAGAAATTCTGAATTTGGTCACTTACCTAATAATATAATGGTTTTACAATCCTCTCCAACAGCTTTTGACACTGACAATCTCATCACCAGAAATCTCCACATGAACAAGTTCCGTCTTTAAATAATGGTACCGGACAGCATCTCTTACAAGTATCTCTCTCTTGGTGATCTTAGAAATGTATTTAGTGGCATTGTGGCAATCCCCACATACTCTAAGGTTTTTAACTACTCGTATAGGAACACCAGCAGGAAGAAATATCAATCCAAACGCAATTGCCAGCTTCTCGCTGTGGTAATTAAGCATCTTCTTCTTTTCTGATTCCTCAACATCATGAAGAACAGAACTCATATCTGGCTCATACCCCTCTTCTATCATTTTGCAATTTAGTTTCTCCAGCTTGGCATATATCTGATCTGAAAATGGACTTGACTGGTCATCTGCTGAAAAATGTGCACTCTGCTCTTATATTTGATCCAACTGCATCCTGGTTCCTTTCTAACCCCCTTATCCCTCATTCCTCTCCTTAAATTGGCCACCTCATTCCATTTCCCTTTAGCAGCATAGATGCTTGAGAGCAAGATATAGCTAGCAGGATTCTGGGGCTCTAACTCTAGAAGAGATTCAGCTGCCCATTTACCAATTTCGATATTACGATGAAGTCTACATGAGCTCAGCAAAGTGGCCCAACCAATTGCATCGGGATGGAAAGGCATCTCATTTATGAATCTTTTTGTTTCTTCTAACCTTCCAGCTCGGCTGAGAAGGTCAATGATGCAAGTGTAGTGATCCATAATTGGTGTAATTCCATGTTCTTTTACCATGGATTCAAAATACTGATGTCCTTTATCCACGAGTCCTGCTCTGCTGCAAGCTGAAAGAACCCCTATGAAAGTAACTCCATCGGGTTTCAACCATGGGCCAGCATCCTTTCAAACAAATCAATTGTCTCATAAGCTTTTCCAAACTGGGCATAACCTGAAACCAAGGCTGTCCAGGAGACCTCATCCCTGATGTTCATCTCATTGAACAGCCGATGGGAGTCTTCGATGCTTCCACATTTACCATATAAGGTGACAAGTGCATTTGAAACTGTAATGAAAGAAATCAAGCCTGAAGCTAGAGCTTGACCATGGAACTGGGCACCTTCTTCTAAGCTTGCTAGGTTTGCACATGAGCTAATTACACTTCCCAGGGTAAAATCATCTGGTTCAACCCCTTTTCTCTGCATGTCACAAAAAACTCTAACAGCTTCTTCACTGTACCCATTCTGGCCATAACCCACAAGCATTGCAGTCCACGATACCACATTCTTGCAGCTCATTCTCTTGAAAACTCCTTCTGCAGCTTTTATGCTTCTACATTTGCAATACATGTCAACAAGAGCACTACCAACGAAGATGTTATCTATAAGCTCAGTCCTAATGATATAGGCATGAACTTGCTTGCCCTCTTCCAAGGCAAATAGGCCACCGCATGCGGTCAATACACTACCAAATGTATATTGATCCATACTTAAGCCTTCTAATATCATTTCTCTAAACTTATCAAGAGCTTTGCTGCCTGAACCATTTTGGGTAAGTCCTGTAATCATTGTGGTCCATGAAATCGAATCTTTTTCAGGCATTTTACTGAACAAACATTCAGAATCTTCAATCAATCCACACCGTAAAAGCCCGGTGATCAATGTATTATACATAACCACATTCCTCTCCGGCATAGAATTGAAAACACGTTTTGCGTCAAGAATCAACCCTGCTTTTGAGTACATGTCAACCAAAGGACTACCAACAAACACATACGACTCGAACCCAAATTTCACTATATGCCCATGAAGCTGTCGACCCAAGTTCACGCACCGCTGGCTCGAACAAAGGACAAACATCGTGGAAAACGTTATCCGGTTCAAATTGGCGGTTCCGTCCGTTAACATCAAGCTATAAAATTTGACAGCCTCAGCAAGCAAACCACAGGACGCATGCCCCGAAATAAATGAATTCCAAGACACCCCATCTCGCCTCGGCATGCGATCGAAGATCTCTTGCATATCAGAAAGATAACCCGATTTAGAATAGACGGAGAGAATTGCGTTCCATGAGAAAAGGGTTGGGTGAGGCATTTGATCGAACACATGACGAGCATACCTTAAGTTGCCTAATCTCCCGTACGTCGTGATGATATTATTGAGAAGAAAGGTTTCAGGACTTGTAAGGGTTTTGATAATGTGACAGTGAAGCTTCTTTGCTTGTGCATGGTTTCCTGCTTGGCAGCAGATTTTGAGCAAGTTACAGTAGTAGTTAGAGGACAAAGACATTAGAGGAAGAGGCCTTTTGGCGGTAATTTAGAGAAAAGAGTTTGTGATCGGATGAATTCGAGCTTATGGTAAGCTTGAGGAGGTGTGCCTTGGTCATGGATAAATATATTTTATTTTATTTTTTCTATTTTTAACATTGTGATGTTGAAGTTAAAATTCTAATCAGCTATAATATTAGTCGATTTTATTTTTTATTTTCCAAATACTCAAATTTTAATTCAATTCAGTATCTGTAATTACTCCAATTTTATTGTATTTAAAAATTAAAAAAATTAATCCTTTTTTTTTTCTTTTTTTGGTTACGATTTAAATCTGTTTTTATTGTATATTGTATCAAGAGGAGAAGAAACAATAATTTTGTTACATATAATCAATACAAACAGCTTCTTAATCTAAAAGGAACAAAAACATCACCAGATTCTCATTGCAAATTTCTTGTTACTGACACTTTGCCCATCTCATCTCCAGATTATACAAGGCAGCTTCCCTTCCCTATTAGTAGTCTCTGCTATCTCTATACAACATTCTTTGATCCACAAAGTCACCTAAGTCAGAGAGCAAACCCACTCCTTTGAACAAAGAATTTCACCCTTCTGCCTATTTAGCATACAATGCTTTTTATAATATGAATATGTCATCTGCTGCTGCTGCTGCATCATATTTGCGAGAATCCTCTAAGCCAGAAGCCTCGCATTTGACTGGTCAAGCTTGCAGTAAACATTGCGACGGTATCTTCATCATCATTGGTGATGGTTAAAAGGAATATCATGATTTTTGTTATTTCATCAAGGTAGTGTTGTAAATATACGGGCCATAAATGTGTTGCGTGGCGTAAATATGAATCGTATAATCAAAGTTCGACTTTCATTTGACCTGGTGTCCCCTGATCCTGCAGTTTCAAAAGAGAAATTAGGTCCGAAGACAGTGGAGAAATATCAGAGGAAATGCTCATACAGAAAAACTAATGACACGCACCATCCACATCTTGGCTACCGGTGGGAGTACTGGCTCCGTAGCTCATCTGGACAACATTGTGGAGCTCATCCTCCCACACATTGGGTAGCTGTAGCCAAATATAGGATTATGAAGGTTCAGTCGTAACATTATAGAGACTCTGAAAGCTGAGCAGAAGAATGACATTCAGGTGTACAGGGTGTATGGGATGTTATCCAGATTTTATATGAAAGTTTAGTAACAGAATTCTATATGAAAGTTTAGTAACAGAATTCTAGCTATCATTTGAAAGATACCTGAGATGGCTCCTTGAATCCTCCGGTCATTGGTGTCATTTGGGAACTCATGGCTCTCCGAAGTATATCAGAAGGGCTCCCCATTCCAGGGAGGCCAGCTTGGATAAGTCCTGATTGAGATGGATGTAGCTGAGGATATGCAACAGGCACATCCGGAGAAAACCCCAGCGTAGATGAAGGTCCAACCCGTGACTGAAGGATCTGTGTGGAAATGATGTACAAGGGTGAATCAGATGAGGCACATATATATAATTATTCTGCATTCTCATGGAATATAAGCAAAATGACTTACATCTTTTGTAAGGAGGCCTTCAATGTTAAAATCCAGTCGTGGATTCACTGTTGCAAGCTTCATCGACAAAAACTGCAAAAAGAACAGGTCAGTGTAAGATACGATCGAGCATCCTTTACTAACCAGAATCACATGACAGTAAAAGTTGAGTTTATGGCCTGTATGAAGGTTTATTAGTAATGATTCACCTATTTGCAATCTTTGTCTTAGAAGCAAGACCTTAACCAGAATAACAACTTACGAATAGCTCACACCCAATCAACACTTTTGATGAAATCAAATATTTAATGCCCCAATCCAACATACAGGAAAGACCATTACACTAGATATAATGAGAACCACAACCTCAGAAGAAGAGGAACCGAAAAAAAAACATTCATACCTCAACCGTCGTTGCAATGATTGTACATAGTTAATGATTTCGTCCAGCATCACTGCCTTCCCAGTTACCTGCAAAAACTAGTTGATTGTCATGAATAGAACTAGGCACTATCAGGTGAGAATTTGACGTACATTCAATTCCCATACAACAACCTTGCTGCATCCAGGTACAAGATCTTGGAGAAACTTCATCCTCTCACTGATCTTCTCCCTTCTGACCTGTTGTAAAAATCAATCAACTCCAACCCAAATGTAGTAATAATAAAAATTTCCACATAATATCTTACTCTTTCTGCAAGACTATGACTATTTGTTGCCTGGCCCCTTCGGGCTCTAACGTGAATATATTCTTCTTTTGGTGGATCAGACGCTTGAGACCCTTGTTTACTCTGTTTTCCGGTAGTCTTGTTGGTAGTTGACGCTGGGTGTTGCTCTCCCTTCTGTTGAATTTCAGAAGCATCCTGTGCTGATTCACCAGGTTGCTGTGCATGGGCCTGATCAAGTTCCTTAGCCTGCCATAAAAGATAAATGACATGCATAAGGAATTTTCTGAAGACAAAACAGACACCTTTTGCATGTGAAAGAAAACATTCAAAATGATGGTTTACCTGCCCACTCCTTTTCCTTTTCTTAGAGCCCTTAGAAGAAGGTTCTGCACCTGTACCCTCCAACATAGAAGGCTCCTCTTGACCAGCACCACCGCTGAAATCCGCTTCATCAGACTCATTACCAGACCCGCCAACAGTGTGTTTCGCTTCATCATGAGATTTCACAAGACTCTCACTTTTCTTCTCATTCTTCAGTGGGCTCCCTTCAGTAGTCCCATGCTCAATAGGCAAGGAAACATCTCTTGAAGCATCACCCCCATTTAGCTCATTCCTTTGAGATTGAGCGCACAACACCGCTTTGGAGCCGTTACCTGCTACAACTTCTTGTGTCCAGTGCATCATTCCTCCACCCCTAGAATAAAGACTTATGGATTCAGGAACACCAAAAGGGTTGAGCATATCACTAAAACTCCCACCATTGAAGCACGAGAACCTCGCAGCACGCTCAATGAAGGCAGAATCGGCCGGGAACTGAGACAAGCTCTGTGGGAGCATCCCAGGCCCATTTGGTAAGAAAATTCCCCCTTTCAACATTGAATTTGGTGGATTCCAACACATCTCAAGGGGTCTATCAATACCACTTCTCAAAGAGACAGGAATGCCTTTTCTAATTCCTATCGCGTCTGAAGTGCTTGCACTGGTCTGACCGTTGATGTCACAAAATCCTCCCAAGTCCTGTGAATTGGTTGGGTGATCCCAAAGTGTTGGGTTAAAAGAGTCCACCATTGAAGCAGAGGGCCGGGAAGAAGAACCAACAAGATCCCCTTTACTAACTGCCATAGAATTTCCAGTGGAAACCAAACCCACAGACGTATTTGTGAGATTGGAGCCCCCAAATCGCCAGTCTGGAGCCAAACCAGGTGAATAATTCATAGGATCCTCATTCCTATTCTCTAATTCAAATTTATCTTGGTCACCCATATCCATCTTTTCTCTTACAACCAAAACCTCCAAAGTTGATCGCCCCTATTAAACCCTAGAACCTGAATTTGAATATCTCTATATTCAAACCAGGATCACAAACCAGGAGAAGAAAAAAGAAAAACAGGGTAACTACGGGAAGTAGAATTCAACTCAAATAGGACACTTCAAGCAAGCTTCAAACACACAGAGTATGAAACTTTAAAACTTGCAATTGAAGAAACCTCAAACTGCTCTGAAAAACTTTACCTCAGAAGCTCCAGAAAGCCAAAAAGAGAAGAAATCATGTACCATGTGAAGCAAAGTACACAAAGAAAATAGCTCTGAAGAAGTGAACAAGAAAGATCCACTTTAATTAATGAGCACAAGAAGGCTAAAACAGTGAAAGAAAACCCACGTACCTAAAAAAAACTGTACGAAATATCACACCAATTTAGCAGCTACCATTTCCAAAGACCACTGAACTTTGAAGTACCAAATTTCATAAAGGAAGCCCTCCCCAAGGCAGAAACTAAAAAAGACAGTTCAAAGAAGAGCTGGTAAAAAGCCTAGGAGAGCAGTCAATTAAAACAAAGACCACTGATTTCAGCATAATAAATACACCCCCATTCAAAACCCCAGTCAGAGTAGCAGAACCCCAGCTCTGAAACACAGACAGAGAGAGAAAGACCAAACTAAAAGCGGTAAGAGAAAGATACCCATTTCAGATTCTGTGCAACTTTTGGTATTCTGCCCTCCATTCAAGCTTTTTACTGAAACAATCTTTTTATTGAATTTGGGTGGCTTTGTTCAAACCCCTACCTGTTTTTTTTAGCTCAGCAGCTCTGCTACACTCACTGTCACAAACCCAAAAAAAGAGAGAGAGAAACTCGTTTATAAAAGCAAAGGCTTTAATGTTGTGGAGAGAGAAACAAAGAAGATAGGTTCCTTCAATGTTAGAGAGAGTGAAAAAAAGATGAGTAATGGCAAAGGCCTTGCTTTTTATACCCACGCTTACATCAAAAAGAGAGCTCTTGATGATTAACCACCGCCACTGCCACTGTAAAATATTAAAAAGACTCCCACCCCGCCCAAAGCTTTTTCTTCACCACCTTTATTATTTAATATCAGATTACTTACTTTTTAAATATCTGTTTATTTTATTTACTTGTTTAACTCTGTTCAATTCAATCAAGTTGCATAATTGTATTGTTTAAGCAGATGTTTATTCCAGTCGAGCTAGCAACTGACACTGCCAACTCTTGCTTGGGAGTTTCCTTTTAAGTAAATTTAAGTTTTAGCTATAAAAAAATTTTCACTTTTGGAAAAAGCCAAAGCTTTTTCAAAAAAGACAGAAAAACCTCTCAACTTTCAAATCAAAGACATGCAAGTGTAATGATTTCTTAGGAAATCCAAAAATAAATAAGGGCAAATTTGTCCATTTTGGCTTCTTTTACAAAATTTCTCTCTCCTTTGGGTTTTTCCAAAGTCTCCCTTTCTTTTATCTTATTGCATTGTCCTTCATTACACCTTGGGACAAGAGCTTAAGATTTTTAATGAGGTTTGTTTGGTCAAGAAGACCCTAAAAATCTAGCTCATTTTCACACTCTTTTTTTTATAACTTTTTATTTATTTTATGGAATTCATCAATAAGAAACTATAGCCGTCTGGTTTATGCGGTCTGCAATCTGCATTATTGTATGGGAAGATCTACGCTATCTCATCGTGATTACTTGACCGTCTTATCTTAGCAGACCAGCACATTGTGCTGTTTGTTTGTTCCACGGTGCATATAAAATATAGGCCGCATGATCTAATCATCCAAAAAAGTAATGAAATTGAATGGCTAGGATCATCCCTAATCACAGTCTCTGGGTTGACCCATCAGTTATGAATTATTCATTTATAGCAAGTTGCACCTAGGGGTCAGACATGAATAATTGAATATTAGAAAGAAAAGAAAAGAAAAAACTAAAAGTAATAGTCCACAGTGAAACTGGTTCAATTTCTACTACCTATGGCGTATACCATTCATAGACTGTCCCTTTCTTTCTTTCTTTCTTTCTCTCATGCCATTATTAGTTGGCATTGGGACTTGCAATCACAGTGACCTAAGCCTTAGAATAATGGAATCTCCCTCCTCCACTTTGCTTTATAAAATCCTAAGCTTTTAGAGGTGGAGGTGATTAATTTGTGTTGAATTTGATTGCATTGCTTTAAACTAAACACAATTATGTTAAGTAAATGTTATTTTTCACTGAACTAGACACCCCGTGCGACAAGAAAAATAAGATGAAAGCCAAGCCATAAAGTAAACACACACAAATTTATATGCTAGTATATTTCTTTTAATTAAATACTACATAAAAAAGAAAATCATTTATTATTTTGATGTGCAGTGTGTATAAGAAAGAATGAATAAAGAAGGAGACAATGAAAACAAAACCTACACAGGGTACCGCCCTATTAAGGAAACAGGGATTAGATTCCTTCATACCAATTTCTCCAAATAGATTATGAAGGAGCCAAGAAGTGGACAAATGGGGCATTGACACGTGTAATGGTGTGCTCTTATACAGGAGGCCAACTGATTGGTGTCACTGTCATGTATGTAAAAAGTTTAGAATTAAAATACATTATTGTATGTAGTGAGAGTTGGTTCATGGTTGGCAATGGCATGGCTGGCTCTCCTTTTGGGAAAGATAAAACCAAGCAACCAAATCCCAGCCATGGCAACATGGGATTAGAGTTAGGGATTCGAGATCTCTTAACCAGAGCTTTAGAATTCTTTAACCTCAATCAAAGACTGAATTGTTGATCATTACTCTCTCTCTCTCTCTCTCTCTCTAGAAAAATAAAGTAGCTATAGTACTTGGCCCTGACCTGTAATCAATTGGAGAAGCACGTTTCAGACTTTAAATTATGTGATTCTATTATTGTACTTACTAAACAGTCACATACAAGTTTACAAGTACGCATGCATGTTTAATGTACTTAGGCCAGCCCAATTTGCCAGGCGAGAGGCCCTCCCAGCGGGGTTTGGACCTCCAGCACAGGAAAGAGAGCCCGGGCAAGCCCTGGGTCCCATCAGCCCGGGCAAGTCCAAGGGCAGATCTTGCCTGGGCTTCAGCTCGAAGGATCGAGCGAAAAAAAATCGAAAAAAAAAAACCAAAAAATTATGGATGTTTTCCCTATAAATACACAACAATTTTATTCACTTTCCACACTAAATCCTCATACAAACTATTCTCCTTCCAATATTTATAAATTGTAATCATTTTTTTTCTTGCATTTGTAAATTGTTTATATTTTCTTCCATATTTATTTTTTTCTTGCATAATCATTTTATTTCTTGCATTTCTAAATATTTTGTTGCATATTATTTTTTTTTTTTTGCCCTTGCCCTAGCCTTTTGGGGTGGAACCAAAAAAGGCAAGGCTTCCACTATTAACGTGAATAGTGGCAGCCCTTGTTTTGCCTTTGCCTTAGCCTTAGCCTTTTGGGGTGGGCATGCTCTTATGACATGATAATCTTCAACTCTTATACTTCACTATGGGCGTAAGTGAAATTTTGGAACTAGAAAAACCCATATGCTTTGTATTTCAAAATAAATTTTAGAAGTGAACCAATGAGGACGGCCATTCAAGCTATGTTCTTCCTGAGTTGCAAATCTATTTTGTTTTCCTCACTAAATTGTTAATGTGTATGCTTCTAGATGCTTGTTATTTTCAAGGTACGTATTTATTAAAAAAATATATGTGTATCTTTGTAGAAAAACTTGTATAAAACGAAGATAGCACTGTTTTACTATCTCCGACCAATCACAAACTGTCATGTGAAAAAGTTTCATGCATGGCATACTGTGATTGGTCAAAAATAGCAAAATAATGTTATTCTCGTTTTATATAAATGTTTCTCGTAACTTTGAAAAAAAAATTGGTCACATTCCTAGGAACACATTTATTAGGATGAAAACTTAATTAAGATGTTGAAGAGTAGAGGAAGAATGTCAGCTGGGGTGAATGGACACCAGATAAACATAGAATCTCCTTTTGAAAAATGATGAATTTCATGCAAACATCATTACATAGCATATCATGATGAGATGTTGTTGAATGATTGTTTTCAAACTTTTGTGGCCACTTTTGGCTCACTTTTTCTGAAAACCAAATTCCAGAAAATCCACCTCTTCTTCTTTTTATTTCTCAGTAGAACTAGAAGATGCCTTCTTGAAAATGTGAGGCTTTTTCCTGTTCCTTTTCCCCAGTACCTTTTAAGTTTTTAACTCTGCTGCAAAAGTAAACGTTGGTGCAAGAGATTAATCTATGGCAATGGGACCCCTTTAGGTAGGAGGAGGAGGAGGAGGGGGCATTGTGATAAAAGAGTGCCTGCTATTCCAGCTATTTGTCTCGCCATGCATATGAGTATGACTGTCTCTAGAGATCTTAATGGGTACACTACCATCTAGTAGGGCACGTACTGTAGGTAGGTACAGTCTACAGATCATAACAGGTGAAAAATCAGACCTTTGCAGGGGAAAATGTTCAAAATATTTGATGATTTGATGAAGCTAAGGAGCTCATCAGCTATTGGAAAATTCCATCATCGGTGTGCCCTTTTCTTCCCAATATACAATCTTCAAATTGTCTCACATTGCACTCTGGACCCTTCAGATTTGGTCACCTAGAGTTTTACTTCCGTTAGTGATTGATCATTCAAAAGATGATGAATTTGGCACTTCATCTCACACACTCCTCTACAATTCATGTACGAGAAGTGAATAAGGTAATTTAAATATAAGTTTAAAGTGCCAAAATCATCATCGGTGCTCAAACCCTTCAACATCAAGTGACGTATTTTGGATACTGGTTTATTTTTCCCCCCCAATAACAGCTACTGTCACTATCTAGTCCAAATAAACTCTATCATTGGAAACTTTCGTACTTGACGCTATCTAGTCCAAATAGGCAACTATATCTTTTGTGAAATAAAAGAAGCTTAATAAGATTTGTTGTTTGGTAACTGTAATGTCTTGATCTAAATCCAATCCCAAAATCCAAAATTGACCTAAACAATTCAAAAAGTAGGTTAAAGTAGAGATGCGAATTCATGGAAAGCTAGCTAGTAGTTAAACATATGAGCCCTAGTGAAATATGAAAACGAAAGTCTAAGATTCTAATTGGAGTGATGGGTCCAAAAAAATGAAAATCATTTTTTCTTGGATGGGATTTGTGTAGCCTCTCGTTAGACAAGTAATTTGGAGTCTTTTGCACTTAAAAGAGCGTCTCTCTTACTAAGTTAATAAGGATAAGAGTGTTGCTTGAACATGTTTTGCTTGTCGCTTGGAGAGTGAGTGTTTGAGACATCGAATATCTTCTAATTAATGTTCAATCCACATATCCACTTAGTCAAATTCACATATCTACACAGATGCTAGGACTTGAATTTAAGACTTTTTCTAAAAGAACAATTGCTCTAAACTATTACACTAGTTGGTCCTTTATCGCATATGCATGTTTAGTTTTCTTATTCGTAAAGTTTTTGTTTTTTATTTTTTGGGAACAAGTCCCATTGCTATCAGAACAGAGGCCCAGCATTTAAAATCAAAGTGGACCACAAATACTTGGTCTTAGATCACATAAAGCCTGTAGCCATGACCAAACATAATTTTGCTTAGAAATATTTTGAATGGAAATTCAATAAAATAGCAAAGTTCCTAGCTGCTATTGAGAGGAGGTAGATATTTTGAAAAAAAAAGGTGGGGTGGTGGTCCAAACCTCAACAGTGTCAATGGAGGACATGACGACAATTAACTAATGGTGATTGATAAATTGAGACAACACAACGTGCTTTGCGTCTCTTTGCTTTTGCTTGTACAAACTTTGAGATTGTATTGGCTGCATGCAAACCAAATGCTGCATCAAACTCTTGTCTCAGACTGACATATGAAGAAAACATTCAATTTCAAATATATATATATATATATATTTTTTTTTTTTTTTTTCTGGCAGGCAACTGAGATTTCAAAGATGCCTGATTGATTCAGACTACTTCCAACTTGGTCTAGAAAAATGGGCTTGGAATGGACTTACAAGCTTTTTCAAGCCCAAGCAAGTCGAAGAACCCAATTCAAGAACCAGAGCCCACCCCAGGCAATTACCTAAATGCTGAAGCATTGGGTTTTTTCCTAATTTATTTAGCCGTATTTTAAAAAAAAGGGGTTTGAGAAGATGAATAAATGCATTTTTGTATAGGAATGAGGTAGGTCATGGCATCCATGATCATGATTGGAATAACCATGAATTGAAAGACATAATTGATTCCATTAGTAAAAGTAATTAAATGATGCAAACAATTAAAATCGCCTGCAATCAATTGCATATCACATGCACATAGAAATTCAAATCCATGGTGCAATAATTGCTTGAATTATTAAAAGCAAAATTAGTGGCTTGCCTGCCTTATGATGACCCGTTATGAATCTTATAGCTCCCTCAAAATAATTTTTTAGATAGAATAAGAAAACAAAACTAGCCCCCAAATGTCTGTTTTTGTTTACTAAATAAATATAAACAATAGTCTAAATTAACATAATTTAGGTGGAAAAAGATTTGAACTTCAATGTAAAAAGCAAACACACTATCATAACCAACTGGCTTAATCCACGTTTACTGCACAAACGTTGGTCGTGTATGATAAGAATCATAGTCTATTTTATTTTAGATAGTAACGTTTTGTGTATATTGTACGTTTACTCAATTATTGAGGGAGCCGCCTACGTGGAACAGGTGCCAACGTGCACCGCACAACACAACATTCTGAGTACGGCAGGCAGCCGTTGGAAGCTGTAGCACCACCACCATACAGTTTTGACTAATTGGTGCCCACTGCGCTCTTGGCTTTAGACTTCTCAGCTTCACAGATCCCAGAGCCTCAAACTCAAAGACCACAGCAAAGTCCAAATTCCAAAGTCTACCTTGGTTTAACGGTAAAACGGAATGACAACAAGTAGTTAAACCAACTGTTTAGTTTTTATCATATCTTTGTCATTCTTCTGTTTCTGGCTTTTCATTGTTCCTCCAATTTCCCTGCTGAGCTGCCAAGAAGACCCAGAGAGCCTTCCTCCCAGCCTCCCAGGTATTCATCTAAGAACCCAGAAGCTGAATTTCCCTGAATTTTTTGTTTTCTTGTTCGTACCGAAATTTCTTGTGCAAACAATTTGGCATACTTGTTTTGGTTTCTTTACATATTTTGAACTCTTCATGCATTTTGGATTGCTCAATTCTGTAACTTTGTTGTTGAATTTGCTCGATCATTGGAAGTTTACTGGATCTATAGTATTTAGTGTAAGTCTCAAACTTCAAAACTCTTATGCTATAATGATAGTTCTGGAAGAATATCTTTAACCAATCAATTTTAGTTTCATTTTCAAAATTCAATGGTATATATATACATTCTAATATGTAGGCTTTTGCATAAGGAAGTTATATTCATTCTCTGATATGACTTGTTGCAAGTCATAGAGTAGAAGATGGGAAGTATTTCTTGTGGTGTTATCTAGCATCTGACAGTCAGGAAGGTTCATTATTTGTTGCTTGACAATTGTGCTTACCAAAGTTAGGAGGGGTTGGGTTGCTGAAGGGAATGGTTAATCTAATTTCGTCGACTGTATTAAAGGTTTGGCTGCTAATTAGGCATTAATGGACTGACATTCTGAATGTCTTTCCCCACCTAACGTAGGGACGGACATCAATGGTGGTGACAGTATTTCATTTTTAGTTTACACTGAATGTCAAATGTTTGCTTGTTAGTTGTTACTTATCCTCAATTAGTCTAATCTGGTGGCAATAGTATGGATATTGTTTATATGTAGCAATCACTGTATTGTGGGGGGGCGTTTGTAGAATTTCTTGTTCTGACTTAAGTTTTCCTTTCTCAGTCTCATCCCTCTCGTTTGGAACTTTGTAGAGACTCAGATAGAAGAGATCAGGGCAAAGCCTTTTATTTTCCTTCCAGCAGGTATGGAAGACCATGCTGTTTGTGATAATACTGTTGGCAGTCCTGAGGTTGAGATAAACTACCTAAATCAACGGGTGCAATCTAATGAATCTGGCATGCAAGAGTTAGAGAGTTACTTGAAAGTTTTAACAAAGCTGGACTTGGACTTGGCATATTCTTCTGAGAAGTTGGCAAATCTCCATGTACCTCTTATATACCTGTTGGCTCAGCAGAATGATCTCGAGGCAATGGCCACCGTCAATAACTATATTCTCGCGGACTTTATTGAGAAAGTATTGGTATTCAATTTCCTTTCTAGCATTCTAGATTCTGAGGTAAGAGAGCTAGACAATTTCATGGATGCTCTCCAAGCAGGAATTATTGATGCCCGTAAAAAAATATCTTCGTGCAGACACTTGGGAAAACTGTATTCTATAATGGAAGGAAAGTTAAATGATTCTGAAGAATCACTAAAGCAATCTCAAGATCAGATTTCAGAGCTTAAGATGCAGTCAGAAAGGTTTCAGAGAACCGTTCTAGCTTTTGCCCATGAGAATTGTAAGTTAAAGTTTTCTGTCTAGTTAGGAGATTTTTTTAATTCAAATAGCGAAGATGCATTTTTTACTTGGTTATTATTTACTTGAGGCATACATGTCAACAGGGAAAACTGACATTGCCATGGATTTATCAGAAAATGCTCAACAGGCGAATAAAAATGCAAAGTCAAATTTAAAGATGCCTAGACAACAAAGACATAATCTGTGGATGCTGGAGAAATCACTTTCAAGAGAGCTATATCTTGAGAAGAAATTAACTGAATCAAGACAAAATGAAGAAGAACTTAAATTAAAGCTACATCATACAGAACAGGTAGCATTTCACATGGAAGAAGCAGCAGAAGTTGTTTGGGGAAGATTTTTAGAGGCAGAGAATGCTGCTGAGGTGCTCCAGGGGATTTCAAAGGAATTATTAGGTCGACTGCAGCTTATTCATTTTAATCTAAATGGTTCAATTCAACGAGAAAGCGAGCTAAAATTCAAACTTCAAGCTAGTTTAGAAGAGCTGAAAGCAAAAGATACTGCTTTGCAGAAGCTCAAGAATGTTCATGAAGAGAACATTAAGAAAGATGTTGAACTGTCTGCTTTGAGAGAAAAGGTGGTGTTCCTTGAGAAACAGCTGAAAGAATCAGAGCTCCAGCTGAAGAGTGCAAATTCCACCAATGAATCAAGTCAAGAGAAACTTGGGGAAATGGAAAGGTTAGTTGAGTCTTTGAAAGAAAACATCTTTACAACAGAAGTTAAGGCTGAGAGCGCAGAACTTAAGGTTGCGGAATTAACAGGAACGAATGTGGAACTCACTGAAGAGATGAGTTTTCTAAAAGGAAGTGCTAGTAACACAGAAAAAAGGTTGGCAGTCTAGAAAAACAGTTGAGGGAAGTAGAGATCCAATTACAGCATGCAAAGCATCCTCTGAAGCAAGTCAAGAGCAGCAGAATATGCTATATGCTGCAATTTGGGATATGGAAACTTTAATTGAAGATCTAAAATCAAAGGTTTCAAAAGCTGAAAATAAGACAGAAAGTACAGAGGAGCAGTGTGTTGTGTTATCTGAAACTAACTCAGAACTAAATGCGGAAATAACTGTTCTAAGGGATAGAGTGGAATACTTGGAATCGTCTTTGGATCAGGCTAACAATGCAAAATTTGCAAGTGCAGAAGAACTCATAACAGAATCAAGTTCATGATGGATATGGCAATGCAACTAGCCATAGAACGGGAGCGCATCCAAAAGCAGGTATATCTTGGAACTTCTCTCTCTCTCTCTCTCTCTCCTCTCTCTCTCTCTCTCTCTCTCCACTCACTGTCCTGTGGACGTTATTTTGTTGATGGTGCTGCCGTAGAAAGTGGTGGCTACTGTAATGTTCGACGGTGGAAATCAAAATAGTTGCTTGTCATAAATAAGCAAAACTTAGCAATGTGATGGCCCACTTTTTCGCTGAAGGCCACAATTCAAATGGAAAATCTGTTGCGTCATATATAGAAGAAAGTCACTGAATTTCCATGGAACAAACACTCAAGGTGTCTGAGTTCTTTGTGGCTTTATAACTTTCTTTCCCTACTTTTAAGGAAAAAGGATGAGTAAACTGATATGTAGCCAATTATGGAAAAAGAATCCTTTCACTATAGTTTCTTCTGTGCAGGTGCATGTCTTAATGATGGATAAAAAACTGCTGGTGGAGAAGCTATGGAACACCAAAAAGGATGCAACTGAGTGCAACAATGAAGACAGTGAAACAAAGAGCTTCCATTTTCCAAGAATAATTTTTTGAATACTACTTCTATGAAGACATCCACGGAAGCTATGACAGAGTCCTTAGATAAAAGTTTCCAGGCAGGTATTCCCTTTGGATCTTTCTTATTATGATAAGTGAAGAAATGGTGTTTGTTTTCCTTTTAAAATCATAGAACTACATAATGTACTCAAAGACTGTGTTTGCTGAGATTTGCCCTTTGTATATCTTCATGATTTGTTTGTTGATTCTGGATCTTTCTTCTCATAAATTCTCCTATATTCAATGTGTCAGGTGGATGAACCATCAGAAGAGGCACCCGAGTGTGATACTGATGCAGGGGCTTCCAGTTCTGCTAGCAGCATGGTTTCAGAACCTGAGACTTCCCGAGAGGTAAAGGCCAGGTGCCTGAGCCTAAGTATGTTTCCATAATAGTCTTTGTATTTTCAGTGTCAGCTATGTATTTGCTTAACCAGGAAGGAACCTTTCCTCTTTGACGAATTGTGATAGATAACTTTCCTCACACATTTAACATCACAAGGAGGAGCCTTTCATGTTGGCGACATGACATATTGTTCCATGATTTTTTTTTCCTGAAGCTCTAAATTGAGCTAGATGTCTTCTTGAATAGTTTTTTTAGGTTCTGCAGAATGAAATGTTGTATAAGCAGGAAGCACATAGTAAAAAGAAGGGCAGTTATGCTTTTCATTATTGTATAGAGCACCCCAGTAAACATGAGATTTCCTGTTAAATATCACATCATATTGTTCGACAAATCATTCGTTTAGTGTATGCATAGGTTGGCAATCAGGATTAAGAAGTAGTAACCTTTAATCTTGTTTAGACTAAGTCTTAGAAGCAAAGCAAAATGCAATAAGAATAATGCCATTGAAACAAAAAGGTGTTTACTTTTATTATAATTCAAGTCAGGCATAGGCTCCGGTAAAACAGAAACCCAGATATGGACATAGTATATAACATATCTACACCTTTATTCAAGGCAATTGATTTGGTTCACAATTGGCTTCAACTTGGAGCTTGGGAGGAGGGTTTCCCCCATCGCATATGCAGTCACCGTTGATGCAGCGCGAGGGAAATCCTTGGCATACCTTACTGCAGTCTATCATACGAGGACAACGAAGCTTTCCCCTTGCTTCAGCTCCTGGCACCTTCCCCACTGCCACTGCAGCCAATAGAAGGAGGAGGGCCAATGAAGCAAACTTGAAGGATGGTTTCTTCTCCATGTTGTTGTTGACACTCTTGTTTGTTGTTGTGATATGTTTTGGTTTCCAGTATGCAAAAGTAGGCTCATCTCCCACTCCATTTTATAGGAGAGGATATAAATATTTAGAGAAAAGAAAACTAAAAGGGAAGATACTCCTTCCATATTAAATTACATCACGAGGAAGAATCATTTCTTCTCTCTCTAATATTACGGCAAGATATTAGTGTGTATTGATGGCACTCCAATCCAACCCATCATTTTCACGCTGCCATTTTCTTCAATTATTCCTCTTTTAACTTTAACTGATAAAATTCCCTAAAAATACAAAAACTTTATCCGATAACAATATATTAATGAATCACCAAAATGAAAGATAACAATAATAATACTAAAAAGGAAACAAGATTAATAACAATGAAACAAGGAAATTGTAGATGTGTGTTAAACCAGTTGACCAAGGCACCTTGCACCCGAACTCGAACTCCTCTTCATACCTTAGAATAATTTAAAATACCCCTCTTTTTATAGCATTTGCTTGTTTCGTGACCTCCATAAACGACATGTCGCTTTTCAGGCGGAATTGATGATGACCATTGACCCAGTCAGTCAGTGCCCATTCCATTTACGTCTCATCGTTCGACACGTGTTAACAAAATCCAAATCGTTCCAAACCCGTCGCGTAGAAACCCTAATCCCAAGCCCCCTATAAAATTCTCTCTTTGGCCTTCACCTGCTTTCACTCACGAGTACAAATCTGGAAAAAAAGCGAACTATAAACTGATGGATACCAAGCTTCTCGTTACGGATGTGTATCCTTTACTTCCTTGATCTTTTTCTGTAATTATTGTATGGAATGTACTGGGATTTTCATTATCAAGTATTATCTTGGAATTATTTCATTGTAATGCACCAGTTAGCCCCCTGCTTCTTGGAAATATAGTCGCAGGGAAATTTCGAGCAAAGGGTCGGTGCAAAATTGAAACTTTGGCATCAGTTGTGCAGTGAATTAGAGTGCTTTCTCTTGCACACCTAAGTTTTGCCCAAAAGCAGGAAAATTCAAAAATTGAAGAATGGCAAAGCAAAATGATGAAACTATATATTTTTTATATCTGAATTTGATGTAGAACCTCATATCATGCCTTCAAAGTTCTCTGATTGCTTTGCTATATCTAAAATTAATAGTTTGTATGTCTCTGTGTGCAAGATGATGAGATTTGTATTACTGAATTTGATGTGGAATCCCATACCAAACTGGTCTTCAAAGTTCTCTGATTGCTCAAGTTGCCATGTAGTATATGTGATTGTGTTTGATTGGCAAGCTTGTTAAAAGGGTTTATTTTCTCTGGTTTAGTTTTCAAAGTTTTGAAGTATCTTCTTCTTGAATGTGTGTGCATGAGTTGATTTTCATCTTTGCTGGCTGGCTGATGAGAGCAGTTGAAGTGAATATGAGCACCAAAATTCATAGTCTGTCATGTATTTTGTATTTCAGATTGTACGAGCATGGTGCTACATTGGAGGTATCTCTTTGCTTGTTCATTGCAACTTCTCTTGTATTCTCACGTGATAGTTGAAGCAGAGCTAGGGAGACAACCAAATGATGAATTTGACATTTTTTAATATATATACTAATAATGCAAGTCTTGATCTGACAGTGTATTTCTTGATTCAAATGCCAGAAACATTAGTTTTGTACTGAGAGGATTGTTGGCTGTTCCATGTGTGGCATATAATACAAAGTCATCGTTCTTTGTTTCTTTCGTGCCTTTAATTTCAAGCGATGGTTGCCTCACTCTGTATCTTGCGAAATTTGACAACGTGTGTAAGAATGATAAATGAGGATGACACCAACTGCTCCTACAGCGCTGTACAATGCAATGCGTAATAACAGAGCAAGTATGCCTGAAATTTAACTCTTCCAATATGTTCAACATCTACGCTTTAATTTTCTCCACACAAAAAAAAACATCTAGGCTCAAGGAAATGGAGAGGCTAACCCAAACATCTGTTTGATGGCAATACCAATGTTGTGATTTTGGGTCGAGAGTGTTGTGGGTGAGGATGGAAGTTGGGATTTGCCTTTGAAAAAATTACAAGGCGAAAAAAACAACAAAGAAGGGGGCCGAAAAATTAACGAAGAAGGTGGCTTTTGGGTACGATCGCGTGAACCAAGTGGCGTTTGGAGAGAGAGAGAGAGAGAGACAGACAGACAGAGAGAATCAACTGAATTCAAAAACCAAAAACTTGAAATTTGAACACTTTTGCTGGCGTGGGTGGTGGCTAGGTGGTGGTTGTCCTTTGGAGCTGGCCTGGGGGAAGGGGCTGTGTGCGGTGGTGAGTAGTTAGGTAGGGTGCGGATGTGGGAGGGGGCCTGGGCAATGGCGTGGGTGGGTAATGGGAGGAGAGATGTTTCCTTTTCTTTTCTTTTTTGTTGCTTATCAAATTATGTTTTTAGGTCTTTTAATATTTTATTACTTTTAAAATATTTAAATATTTTCTTAATTTTTAATTGATATTCTAATCCACCTAAGCCAAAAAAAATTGGCGCCACATTAGCAACTAATGAAAATTTTAATGGTATAGCTAACGGTGGAGGCATATTGCAAAAATTTTACAAATATTGGGAACTTTATTGTTAAAAATTTTACAAATTTTAAGAATAAAGTACTAGGAGTGCAGGAGCAAACATGCTTTAAAAGTAAAAATTCAGGGTGCTAATTGAAATTTACCCTAAAAAAAGAAAGAACTAATGTAATCAATTACTAATAAGAACTTAATAACTTTCCAAAAATATTGAAAGCGCTTTTGGACAACTAAAAGTGCTTATGGAAAGGCTAAAAACACTTTTTGACAACTAAAAGTGCTTTTAACAGCGTTTGGCAGAAAAATTTAGAAGGGCTTCTGGGTCATAGAACCGTTTTCTAGAGAAACACTTGCCATGTGCTTCTTTAGGAAGCACTTCAATTTCTCATGAAAATTTACGTATTATATACATAATTCTCACATATTATTGAATAAAATAATATATATTAAAAAAATGTAAATAATTTATATTAAAATATAATAATGGCAGAACTTTTAAGTTGTACTGTGCCAAAATTTTGTTTGAATAAAACATGTACGTATTTTATTTGTATTTTTTCCTATTCTGTATTTTATTAACTATGAATGAATGTGAGAGGCTAAGATTATTTCTTACTTGTTATAACAAAATGCAAGATGGTGATTTTGAAACTAGAAAATTAATATCTATAAATAGTCTAGCAGCACTGCTATACTCGGTTTTAATTATACAAATTTATAAATAAACCCAATCCTAGACATGTATTTATAAAAAACCCCAAGCACTATTTAAACATAGAAACACACCCAAATCAACCCCAAAGTCAACTTTTTGGGTGTGTTTATAAATGGGTTTTGAGTGTGTGTAATGATGGGTTTTGGGTGTGTTTATAAAGTGTTTTGGGTGTTGGGTTTTTTTATAATTTCAACCTCCATTTTGGGTGTTTTAGTGAAACTCCCTTTTAATTATTATTATTTTCAAAAAAATCGTACAGCCGTGCGCCTATACCCAGATTTTAATTGTTTTCAAAAATAATTTAGCCGTTCGGCTATACCAGGTTTTTTCCCTAATTTTTTAAAAAATGGTACAGCCGATTGTCTTTACATTTTGTACACGTGGCACCAAGCCGCTGGGGGTCTTCTATATCACGTATAGCCGCCCGGCTATACTCGGATTTTAAATTTATTTTTTAATATATAGTATAGCCGTGCGGCTACACTCGTTTTTTCCTAATTTGTTTTTTTTAAATAGTTTAGCTGGGCGGCTTTACTGTTTTGACGCATGGCACCCAGGCACTAGCGGATCTTTTTTATATAAATAGTATAGTCGGACAGCAATACTATTTTATTATAAAAAAAAATTTTAAAAGGGGCAATTTTTCTTTTTTCTTAAAAAAAATTGAAAATATACTTTTTTTTTTGCCAACTTCTTTAATTTAAGATATGTAATTAAGTAATATCTTAGCCTTTTTGAATTACATTAATTAGTAATTATGTTTTAATTATTATTTAAATATGTTAAAGACAATTAAATTTCTCTAAAGCCCAATCTATTTATATATATATATATATATATAGTGAGATCCTATTTTTCCCCCGATTTTCGTTTATCAATAAGAGTTGTTTAAAGCATTATTCATTATTATTATGCCATTACTCGAGTCTCTATTATCCCATTTTGATTTTTTTTACTTTTCCAAAGTTATTATCCGTATAAAAGATTTAGCACTTTCACGTTTAATCATGCATTATACATTTCGTACGTATTTTTCAATAATACATCCGTGTTCTGCAAACATCTTAAAGACTTGTTAAAGTTCATGCTTAAAACAACATAAACATACAATACTTGTATTATATAGGTACGTATGTATTTTTCATGTTTAATACACATTTTTTTACAAAAATTTCATTAAGACACACAAAATTCATGTATTATACTCATAATTTTCACATATTATTGAATAAAAATAATATATATTTAAAAATGTAAATAATATATATTAAAATATAATCTAGTGGCAGAACTTTAAATTGTAATGTGCCAAAATTTTGCCAAATAAAACACGTACGTATTTTATTCTTATTTTTTTTTCCATTTCGTATTTTACTAACTATGAACGAATGTGAGAGGCTAAGATTATTTCTTACTTGTTGTAACAAAAATGCAAGATGGTGATTTTGAAAATAGCAAATTAATATCTATAAATAGGATAGCTGCAAGGCTATACTCCGTTTTAAATAAAAAAAATTCAAAAATCTTACAACCGCTTGGATATACTCGGATTAAAATTTTTTTTTAAAAATAATAATATAGCCGTTATGCTATTCTCGGTTTTTTCCCAAGTTTTTTATAAAAATAGTATAGCCGCCTGGCTTTACTGTTTTGACACTTGGCGCATAGCCACTGGGTGGGTCCTATATATAGTGTAGCCGGACGGCTATAACCTCTTTTTTATTTATTTTTTATAAATCGTATAGCCGGGCGGCTATACTCGTTTTCCCTTTTTTTTTTAAATAGTATAGCCACGCCGTTTTAGCTTTTTGACACGTGGCGTTTTAATTTCTTTTTGACAACAAAGGAGGTTTTATTCTTAATGAGTTTAAATAAGTCAAAGAAAATCCATATAAACACCATATTTTCCCAAATATTTCAAGAGATCAGGTTCCTTTCTTTAAATTGTATTCCAAAATCTGAATATATCAAATTAATGTACAATCAAATCATAGCCAGTCCTACTCGTTTTTTCTCAAATTGTAGACATTAAAATCCAAAACAAAGTTGCCAAAAGATCGATTAAAGCAATATTAATAATATCAAATAGAAAACGTTATACAAAGGAAAAAGTTTTGAAATCTCAACTTTAAAAGACATTAAAAACACATTAACACATATTTAAAATTCAATTCAATAAAGATAGTAATAATACAAAATATATGGTATTTTGAAATAATCACAAAAATTCCAACACATAAATATAGGCCGAAGGGATAACTTCGTACAGTGCAAAGCACAAGCAAAGCTTCAAATTCATCACATATAGATCCAGGTGGACGCACAGTAAAACATCCAATGAAGGCAGAATGGAGTGAGAGGATGATCATATGCTGCCTATGTGAGTTCTTCCACCAGTATTAATTAATTTCTCTTCCCATAATTTTGTATTTACGGAAATGAAAGTTTTGTAATGTTTGCAGGTGCACCATTTTATCACAGGAGATGAAGCAGCCACGATCCTCAAAGATGTAATAGTACGATGATGCAAGGCGTTCCATGTACCTCAGACTTTGTTCTCTGCGTAACCACTTATGCATGCCAAGTGTTAAAGGATTTGGCTCTGGCCGTGCAAAACCAAAACGGCCAATGTTCCAGTAGGAAATGACTGTGCAGGAATTGGGTGTCCTTGGGGAACTATCGAATGTGTTGATGGGAAATGCAAATGCGTAAATAGCGTGATGAGCCATGCATAATCTACCGTACATTTATTTTACCCAGTACCCTTGTTGGTGATCTCATAGCGAATAAAGCTAGGTGCAATTAAAATAGTGAGGTGGTTTGAACAGGGCCGTAATCTTTCTCAAAGGAAATAATACACAAAGGTCTTTAAACTCTATGGTGTGGTACCGATCAATTCTCCTCTAACAATGATAAAGGGAAAAAACCAGAGATACTGTCATGCAATATGTTCAACATGCTTCTACGACAACATTCGTTGATAGGAAAGTTTAAAAACACTTCACACGAACATCTCTGTTTTATAGCGACGGTTCCTTTCATTCCTGTCGGTTAACTCTTTGGCAGGAATAAGTAATCAATTACTAATAGAGGTGAAGTACTTCTCCCTCTAGCGGTGAGAGGGGAGGACTTAGGTAGTCCGACGACACTACACGCCATATGGTAGAGGTGCTCTCGCCTAATCCTCTAGGATATAGTCCGACTTTTTTGTCGTGTTCATCGTATTATCAATACCTTTTATGCCTTGGATGAAAAGAAAAAAAAGAGTTTTTTTTTTTTTTTTTTTTTTTTTTTTTTTTTTTTTTTTTTTTTTTTTTTTTTTTTTTTTTTTTTTTTTTTTTTTTTTTTTTTTTTTTTTTTTTTTTTTTTTTTTTTTTTTTTTTTTTTTTTTTTTTTTTTTTTTTTTTTTTTTTTTTTTTTTTTTTTTTTTTTTTTTTTTTTTTTTTTTTTTTTTTTTTTTTTTTTTTTTTTTTTTTTTTTTTTTTTTTTTTTTTTTTTTTTTTTTTTTTTTTTTTTTTTTTTTTTTTTTTTTTTTTTTTTTTTTTTTTTTTTTTTTTTTTTTTTTTTTTTTTTTTTTTTTTTTTTTTTTTTTTTTTTTTTTTTTTTTTTTTTTTTTTTTTTTTTTTTTTTTTTTTTTTTTTTTTTTTTTTTTTTTTTTGTTACTAGTGTAGCCCACCACTCCACACGCGCTCAGCATCACCCCTGCATGCAAATGGCAACAGACGTAGTTGCTTAGAACAGATCCGTCTCTAGAAGTAACATGGTGACTTTAAGATGGCTCTCCTGCGTACAATTGAGTCCAGTTTCCTTGTTAGATCAACAAGCACGAGCCGTGGAGCGGGAGGGTGGTGGCGTGCGTGGGATCGTGTGTGACCTCAAAAGCGATTCTTGATCCAAAAACCACTAAGTGATCAACAGCTATATGGCCATTATTGCCAACAAGGGGTGCCATTGTACAGATGACAATCATTCGTAGACAATCTGCCATTACACTATTTTTCACGATGAAATTGGCAACGGCAGCATCACCGTGCCTTCCGCAAGGGACCAAGCTTAAATCTACACACTTATAGTGAAATATTCGGATGGCCTGTGCAGGACATCCATATGTAGCTGTCGGATGGTGGATGGATGACGTCCCCGATCAAAATCAAGCGCCAAGTATGAAAAGGGCCAGGGAAAGATGCATAGTCTTGCGCAGCGTGAGAGCACAGCTTATTGACTAACCACTGGCATGAACTTGGACATGTGGACACCTCTTCACAAAGTTGTATGCATCATTCTTCATTGTAGGCCAATAATACCCAACACTCAGCAGCTGCCGGTAAAGCCTCTTCATTCCTTGGTGTTCACCACATTCTCCAGCATGAATCTCTTGCATGACTTGCTGTGCCTCTGACTTTCCCAAGCATTTTAATGGCTCACCATTAAACCCCTTACGGTAAAGAGTTGACCCATCTATGAAGTATCTTTTCATTGTCCTTTTGAGCTTGCGTGCATGCTTGGGATTGGTTGGCAAGACTCCGTTGATGAAGGATGCCAAGTATGGAGCCCTCCAATCCTCCGCAAACGAGACGGTGAATGATTCCTCGGTGGAGGGTATCTTTGCACACTTGGGACAATTGGCTTGTATTTCAGCTGCTTGTTTCCTCATTTCTGGCCAGTAATAACCCTTGCGCTGCAGGCGCCGGTACAAGCTGATTATTGGCTCCAAATTGCAAGTGACCTCATGTACCTCTTGAAGCTTCTCCTGTGCTTCTGTTATCCCTATGCAGCGGGTCAAAATACCTCCCGGAAGGCGTCTGTACAGTTCCCCAAAGATGATCGCATAATCCTTCAATTCTTTGATGTTGCTTCCTTTGCCTATTTTTTCTTTCACAAGCTTCCTCCAGTCATCCTCTTCCAGCTGCTCCTCTTGAGCCATTGCTTCAACAACTGGTTGTCCTTCTTGATTACTGCAATATTGGGCTGTTCGTCAATAAATGAGAGCCTCGACCCCAAAGTGGCCAACGCATCAGCATATCTATTAGTGACTCCCGGGATATGTTCCAACACAACTTGTTTGAACGAACGAACAAGCCTTTCAGCAGCTGTACGATATGGTGCCAATGCTGGTTCCTTCACGGCGAAATTTCCTTGTAATTGACTCAGCACCAAGTTTGAATCCCCCAATAATTTTAATTCTTTCGACACCCATTTCCCTTGCTGTAGACATCCCTGCAATAAAAGCTTCGTACTCTGCCGTATTATTCGTGCATGGGAAATTTAGCTTAAACGAGAGGGCCGTGGCTTGCCCCTCGGGATTGACAAGCACCACACCTGCCCCTCCACCCTTCGATGTAGAAGACCCATCGAAGTAGAGGGTCCATGGTTCTGCCTCTGTGACAACAGCAACCATTTCCGGCAGCTCCCCCAGAACTTCCTTAGAGATTGTTGATTCTTCAACTTCGGGAAATAGAGCCAACATGTCAATAACGGCCTGCCCTTTGATGGCTTTTGGAGTGGTGCAGGTGATATCAAACTCGGACAGCTGTAGCAACCAACGTGCAAGGCGTCCGGATAATATCGGCCTTGTAAGCAAATATCTTACGGGATCAGACTTCACCATGAGATGTAGCTTGTGAGCAAGGAAGTAATGTCGCAAGCGCTGTGCAGCATAGACAAGAGCAAGGCACAAAAGTTCAGTTTTCGGATATCTTACTTCAGATCCCCTTAGTTGCCTACTTACGTAATAAATAGGACTTTCTTCCCCACTGTGATCATCTTGAGCAAGTAAGGCCCCCAACCGCTGTGTTTGTTGCAGCCAAATAAAGCTTGAGAGGAGCCCCGGAATAGGTGCTTTCATAGTGGGCAGCTTGGCGATTATTTGTTGCACCTTTCTTGTAAGCTTCTTGGCACTTCTCACTCCATTCATACCTCTTGCCTTTCTTGAGCAATGGAGTAAAAGCACTCATGGTGGCAGCAAGACCTGGGATAAAGCGCCGAATATACGATAATCTTCCCATAAAGCTTTTCAATTCTTTTGGGCTTTTAGGCGGTGCAAGAGAATTTATGGCTTTAGTCTTTTCTGGATCCACATCTATGCCACGCTGGTGTACTTGAAACCCCAAGAATTTACCGGATGAAACCCCGAACGCACACTTCTTTGGATTCATCTTCAAACTGTACAGCCGACACCTTTCCAGCACTCTCCTTAAAACTTCTTGATGGCCTTCTCTGGTTTTGGACTTCACCACAAGGTCATCCACATAATCTTCAACTTCTTTTCCCATCATGTCGTGAAACACCGCTGTCATAGCTCTTTGGTAGGTGGCGCCAGCATTTTTGAGGCCGAATGGCATGACCGTATAATAAAAATTCCCATACGGTGTTCGAAAGGCTGTCTTTTCAGCATCCTTGGGAGACATCTTGATCTGATTGTAGCCACTAAACCCATCCATGAATGACAACAAGCCTTGACCCGAGGTCGAATCAATTAAGATATCCATGTTTGGCAGCGGGAAACTCATCCTTTGGGCAAGCTCGGTTGAGATCTCGATAATCCGTGCATATTCTGATCACACCGGTTTTCTTCTTCACAGGGACAATATTTGCTAGCCACGTAGGATGCTTGATTGGTTTAATAAATCCGGCAGCTAACAACTTTTCAATTTCTACCTTGATTTGCTTCTCAACTTCAGGATGAAAATTCCTTCTTGCCTGCACGACAGGTTTTGTACCAAGCTCAATATTCAGAGTATGACTTACTAAGCTTGGGTTCAGACCAGGCATTTCCTCATAGCTCCAAGCGAACACATCTCGAAATTCCTTTAGCAAAGATATCAAGGCCGCCCTCTCCTCATTTGTTAAATGAACACTTATGGAAATGGGCCTCGGGGCAGAGGGATCCTCACTCAAATCAATTGTTTCCAGCTGCTCAGCTACTGCTGACGATCCATCTTGCATGTGTCTGGGTGCTGCCATTGGCTCCTGGAAAGCACAAGGCAAGGGTGCCTTGTCGTTGGAACTCCCACAGCTATTTGTTTGCATTACTTTTCCTCCATACTCGGGGCTTTCCCGTAAGACACGGTCAAGCCCCCAACCCCGTCATAAGCGGTACACGATACGTCCATCGGGCAGCGTCACCTTTGAGCATTGGGGATGATCATAGGCATGGTTGTTGACTTCCGAGTGCCTCTTTCTCTCTCGATCGACAATGGTGATGAGCTCCTCATTGCTTAAATCACGAATTTCAGTCCACGAAGGAAGGTAGGTCCCGAAATCCTTGGATGGATTGCTTCCAGCACCTGTGCATTCAGTGTAGAACTCTGCTTCAGAGTAGTGAGCTTCATCTTTGTTGAAAGGTGCTTGGTTTCCAGGTATGCGTAGCGGCCTCAGCCCAATCCTTCCTTTTACGCATTGATGATAGGTAGAGACCACAAGCTTATGCTTGTTGAGCCATGGCCTTCCAAGCAAAGCATGGTAAGCCACATCCACATCCACAACATAGAACTTAGTAAGTGACCGAATTGGCCCAACCTTCAAATGTACTTGTAGATGCCCGACTGTGACCTCACTCTTATTCCCGAAACCACTGATGTTTGTTTGTGATTGGACAATTTTGGACAATGGGATACCAGCTGCCGTAAGCACAGACAGAGGTAATATGTTGACAGAGGAACCCGTGTCCACCAAAGCTCTCCTTATGAACACATCATTGATCTGTCCCTCCAAGTAAAGCGGCCTCCTATGGTCCGGGTATGGAACTTCCATGTCTTCGTCCGTAAAGACAATAGCATTGTCATTTCCCAAGAATGACCTTTGTGGTTGAGTTGTAAAGCATTGAGAATTAGACTCCTCAGAGATATTCATCAGGGCTACAGCAGCTGCTTCTCTTGCTTGAGGCCCGAAGCCAAGTTGGTCAAAGAGTGATTTGAACTTTGGGTTTCTTTGAAGGACCTGTGAAGCTGTGGGCCCCTGTTTCATGCTTAAATAACGTTCCATCACACTTGTTTCAGCTTCCGTGATATTATGAAATGTCACGGCAGCTGCTTCCTGCTGCTCCGATAAAGCCCCCGAGTAGCGTTCTTCCGGCATGTCCAAAACAAAAATTTCGCTGCCTGAGTTGTCACCCCATCCATCAGCGAGTGGCCATGGTGTGTTGTAACTTGAAGGCCTCGAATATTTACACCAATATGCCTTTTCCATGTTTCCGCAAGGTTCCCATACGGCTTCCGGCGGCTTTGGGTCATTCCTCCAAGGGTGGCACAATTCATCATCATCAAGCAAATCATCAGAACATGTAATGACAGCGGCTACCTCTTTCCCCTTCGTTTTGGCAAGGGGTCTTCATCAATGGTTTGCTTCCTAGAGGGAAGTTCAAGGACTCCCTCATGTATTTTGGCGTGTAAAATCCTCCTCAGGCTCTGACAGGCAGTGGTTGGATGCCCCACAAATTGGTGATAACGGCAGTACCTAGGATCATTCTTTTCCTCTCGAGTAGGAACCTTGTAGGGTCTGACAGGTTTGATTACGCCATCAGCAATCATTGTGTCAAGGATAGCATGAAATTCTTCATCTTTGCATGGTAGTGGTGGATACGTCTCTCTATCCTTGCGTTTGCGTGAATTGTAGTCATTGGATGGCTTGTCATCTATTGCTAATGTCTGATGCGCTTCCTTCTTCTCATTCCTCCAAGTCCTTTGTCCTGGTGGCCTGACGGACATGCTCGTCTTCCTCACAGCTTCCAGCAGCCGAGAAAATTGACTAATGCCAATATTCTCCAAATACACTCTATAATCTGCCACGATATTGCTGATGCAAATTTCAACAAGCGCCTCCTCGTCCTTCTCATCATAGCAATCCAATGCCAGGTCCCGGAACCTGCGTACAAAGTCCACGGGATCCTCACCATGCTTTTGGCGGGTGTTGTTGAGTTGAGTGGTGGTGACTCGTTCTTCATGCTGGAAATACTTCTTACAGAACCTGCTTGCCAGACTTTCCCAGGAATGAATAGAGCCTGGTGCCAACGTTGTATACCATGTGTAAGCACGATCGGTGAGACTCTTTGAAAATTCTCTAAGTCGAAGATTATGATCACCAGCATATGGTCCCAAGGCATCGATGAAGCGATTGACATGCTCCTTCGGGCTCCCCTTTCGTCCATCAAAGAGGACAAAGGTCGGTGCTTCATAGCCTTTAGGATATGGCTGCTGGAGTAAGCTTGATGGATACGGCGGCTGAGGAAGATACTTCCAATCTTCCTGACTTCGACTCAGCTCCTTTTCCAGCATGGCAACAACGTCCTCCTGAGTGACAAAAGATGGTCCCTTCTGCTCAGACTCCTTTCCGGCAGCAGCAGATTCCTCCTGTGGGTGCTTCTCATTCACTTCACTTGGCTTTGGAGCCGAATTTTTGAGTTCTTTTATCATCTCTGCCATCTCCCTCTGGGTCTCACCCATAGCACGAATGGCTGCAACAAGATCTGTGAGGGTAAAAGTTCCCTCACTTGCACGTTCTTCTTCTCTAGAAGAGGCATGTTGCCTTGACTCTGAGTCAGCATGGCTTGGCCCATCCTGGGAAGTTATGTTGTTGCTTCTGGTCTTCTTTCTTGGAGGCATTGATGAAGATAATGGCTTAATCCCCAGCAGAGTCGCCAATTTATGTGGGGGACTTTTTCTTCCTGCAGCTAACGGGCTGGGCTGCTGCAAAAGGTGGACTGAGGAGATTGCCCCTTTTCGTTTGGGTTCGAAAATTAAGCCCCAAAATACCTCGAAAGGGAAGCGGAACCTTAGGAGATATTTTGGATAATCTTCACCAATGAGGATAATAGTAACTTACAGATAATTTTGGCATGCTTACAGGTGGTTTTTAGACTCAGCATGAGTGGCATGAGGCATGGAGAGCAAAACCAGCATGGGTTTAGCACTAAGAGAGAAATTAGGCTTGGTTTATGATAAATGAAAGTGTTTAAGTAAGGAATGAGGTATTTTTTGTGAGGGATTTTGACTAGAGAAAAAGAAAAGAGAGGCAGGGTTCTTCCAGCAGCTACCAGAAGAACAAATTGGAGAAGAAGATGAACAGTGCACGGATCTAAGTTTTGCAAGATAGAGAGAAAAGCTTGCTCTCTGCAGGTTGTGAGTTGTGTTTGTTGGGTAGGGGAAGGCTCAATTTATAGCTGCCGGAAATCACCATTTTTCAAGAAACCCTAATGGCTCCTTCCTACTTTGGCTAAGCTTTTCTTCCTTTCTCCTCCCCTTCTCTGACTTCCCTTTTTTGGCAAAGATGGCTTCTGTCTATCTTCATGAATTTAGGAGATTTTGGGGCTCAACATCCCTCTTTCCCGCGGCTGTGCAATGAGGGCTTCCACTCTTAGTTTGCTGTTTTTCTTCCTTTTCTTTCCTCTTCCTTGGCTGAATCTGATGAAGGAAAGGTGGTGCAAATGTATGCTGGTCCAAGGGATGCTTCTGACAGCATGCAGGATGGTATTCATCGGTTCTTTGGATGTCTCTGGCTTGGGACTGGTTTCCAGCAGCTTACTTAAGGAGCCTGCCATCTACTTCACGTGTTCTCTGTTTTTCAAAAAAAGGCTGAAGCTCTTGTGGGCCTTTTTTTGGGTTTTTCTAAGGGCCAAGATGGCTTTCTAAGCAAATGGGCTTATTGGGCTTGATTTGGGCTTATTATTATTTTTGGTTGGGTTATCTCTTGGCTAGGTTATTTTGCTTGGGTTTTTGGGCTATTTTTCTCTCTTGTGCTTACCCACATGTTTGGACCTAAGAAATGGGCTTGAGTCTCGAGGCTCCCAAGCAACCCGAGACTTTCCATTTCTTGGTCCATCAATGGGCCTCATGTTGATTTATTACCATCCATGCCACAACCCACTCAAGCAAGCCCCGGGTCTTTTTTGAGTGGCTTGGGCCCACCTAGGCTTGTAGCGTGGTTGGGTGCGAGATAACGGCACGGCATGTTGCTCGGCATATTTTACTTTATCGCCCTTTTGAAGGATTGTTTTAATTTTTTTAGCATGATTATATTTTATCATAGCATGATAATTTGTTTATTTAGCGTGGCGTGTGGGTTATAACTTGCATGCGATAGATCCCTTTTTTCTTTTCCCTTATGAAATATTGTATTGGGCTGATAATTGTTCGGGCCCAATCCATGGATTTTTGGGCCTCAACAAACTTCTTTCGTTTTTACTTGAAGGCTCATTGGCTCACACTCTTATAATGTATGCAAAGATCACCAAATTTCCTCTTTTTGGCTAGAGGGCCTTTTTTTGTGTGTGTTCATTTGCATGACAATACAGATAATCTACTACTACCTAAAAGCTATAGAAAATTAAATGTGATAGCCACGTCATAAAAACTGCTACCTATTAGGAAAATCCAAAAACAAAACTTGACTGAATAGCAGAAACATACCACCAATTTATGTAATTCTTTCAAAAAAAATGTTAGCTGAGATTGTTGGCTTCGCTTTCAGAATACCCTGAAGGAAAACCCACTTTAAAGAATCTAATTTCCAAAGCATATTAAGCTTCAATTAGAAACAGAACAGTGCATCCAAAAGCTGGGTTTATGGAGAGAGAGAGTATGAAAACATGAGTTTACGATAACTTACATAACTCTATACCTTTTTCATGATGAGCTTTCACTTATAAAAACACTTCAATTTAGACATGTGAAAACTCTAAAATTGGGTTCCCAAATTAAATTTCTTTGTTTTGTCATATAATTCACACTATTAACAAGAAAGATTACGCAAGCAGTCAATTGGAGTTTTCTCTTTCGTACCAATTTCCTTCGGCGCTACATTCGTCAAACGCTGCCATTTTTTGCATTCCGAAAGTTACCTGCAAAATGTTTATAAATCAAAATTAAGAAAGAATACCAATTAAAACCAAATTGGGATGAAAGTTAAAAAAAACACACTGAGAAATTACAACAATTTGTAAGCTGCAGCGTAAAGGAAGAGTTGGAAAGCATTGAATTTTCCACTCTCAGGTTGCACCCTTTGTAGCCAAAAAGATAAGAAGGATCAACGCCCAAATTGAGAATTGGAGTTTCGTATACATTTAGTTTTATTTTTGCCCCAATTATTTCACAGAGAGAGAGAGAGAGAGAGAGAGAGAGAGAGAGAGAGAGAGAGAGAGATTACATGGGAAGCAGGTGAGAAATTGAAGCTAGCGTGCAGGAAGCCATCGTTGTCCGTTGGCCGCTGCGTTATCCCCCATTCCGATCTTAGGTTTAGAGTTTTAGCAGTTCTTGTATAAATGTCCGATGGCTGTTGCATCTCGGCGTCGGCAGAGTTGAGACGCCCAGATTCTGATTTGGGGACATAGATGACGATTGGATTTCCAAGAGAGAGAGATCGATTGCAGAGATAAGCAGCTCCAGTGCACGCGAGGGCTTCCGCGCGTTCGTCGAAGCTTTTTACTTGTTTTCTCAGTCACGTGTATGTCACGTGATAATTAATAACAAAGGGCTCAACAAGTCTTCAGGTCATTCAATCTCAGCCCTTCATTTTTAAAATGCAAACTCAGCCTTTGGATAAGTGGCTGTACCGGTATAGCTGAGGCACCACAGAATTTTCGAGCTAACTGGCCCGTCGGAATTTGTTGCACGATGAGTGACCAATTAGTCAGGGAGAGAGGGGGAGATTTCTTAAGTGTTTTAGAACAAAAAAGAATTTCAAGCAAGGATTGGTCAATTCCAAATTTAGTTGAAAGTAGAGCCACAATAAGCAAACAAGCAACCCGTTTGTAGAACATTATCATAAGTGCATTTTTGGAAGCGCTTATATTGGAAGAAAGTTATATATATATATATATATATATATTTAAAAGTGATTCATAAAGAGCACTTAGTAAGAGCTTTTGTGACCCATAAGTACTTATAAGTTTTTTCTGCCAAAAGTTATCAAAAGCTAATTTGATGGTCAAAAGCGGTTACAGGCCCCAAGTACAAAAACCGAATAAAAATAACTGACCCTAGATTATGGAGATCAAACTGTAAATATTATGTCAGAGAGAGTCCGAGAATAGGCTCCAAACCCATAATCAGTATTAGTAATAAATAAATAAATAATAGGACTCAAGTTGTGCTCATTGGTCCAATAAAATACAGGAGTTACAAAACTGGGATGTTAAACGTAGCATCCAATCAACTCTTCCAGAAGCATTGTAGCATCTCTAGTGTGGTTTAGGAACATAGCCATCAACAGCAAAGTTTCGGGTGGCAGCAGGAATAGCTAAACGAATTCCATCAAGTTCAGGTTTTGCAATCACTTGACAACCCAAGCGAGAACTACAATGTCACAAACATAAATTTCAGTATGAACCAAATGCAAGAAAAATTCCACATGAAAATTTGTTAACCTACGTTTCCGTAAGCCCAAAGGCCAAGTCCAACATATCATTTTCCTCATCAGTTGGGTCTTCTAATTTGTTGTAATAGTCCATATCCTGTAGGATGATTCTACAGTTAGCTCCATATCCTGCAGGATGTTTCTTCAATTCTATTAAAACCAAATTTAAGTTCAAAAAGCATATTTCTTTGTAACGTAAACATACCATCACAATCACATGACATGTTGAACAGGCAAGTGAACCTTCACATGCTCCTGACAGGAGAGAAGCAACAGAGCATCAGATTCTGCAAATATGATTAAAGAACTATTTGACATAGTAGTGACTATCTCTCTTGTGGTTCCAAACAACTAAGTCTAATCCATTTTAAGGAATAAGTATGCAACAATACAGGTGAGAGGGAGGGGAGGTCACCCCAATGTACAGTCCAAAGCAACCAATAAGTATTTGCCAATCTAATTGACAAAGGCCTATGCTATCAGTATTATCAGTATAAAGATGCATGAAAATGATGAAACTTAAACATGCGAAGATCAAAAAGACTATTAAATAAGCACCAGAACCTTGCCTTCAAGATCTATATCATTTTCATGGGCAGCTTCTAGCATAGACATTCCAGTAGGAACCTTAATATGTATTTCCTCTCCATCCTTATCAACAAATGTCACAGATATCCTGCAAATAAATCATCTGTGTGTGAAGAAACAACATAATAATCTTACAGCTGATCTCAACTCAAAGGAGAATTAGGGCCATGAGGTGCTCCTAATTGACATAAAGAAAAACATTGCTAAAGCTAAACCAATTTGCAATTAATTTTGCACAAATAAATGCGGAAATATATGTTTAATCTGTGCATGTGCATTTGACTGCTTTCTCTCATCATTATTGTACTCCCCTGAATCTATCTACTCACATTATTACTGAGCACAATTTTTAATGCATTAGCGTTAAACCATTTAAAACCAAAAGAACTTACTTTTCTTTCTGCTCAATCCCTTCATTTGAAGAATCGCTGGCACTAACGGTAGAAAAAAGATGATGCTTGTGAAATATGGCTCCCCGCAACAACTTAGTTTCAGACTGTTGATCAAACTGTTCATAAGATAAAGAAACCATAAATATAAGAACAAAAACATGAATGCACCTACGCAAGCTCATTCTGCTAAAATACATAAATGTAAAAACTACTCAACGCTTCACATTAATCATCCTTCAAACCCACGTATCACAATTCAAATATGATTTCAGTTCCCTTCTTCAGAAAATACCTAAAATAATACGAAGAATTTGAAAATGTCATATATGCCTTCATTTAGAATTTAAAATGGTCTTGGTAATTCTCAAATTGCTTGCCAAAATTATATCATTAAACCGACTTTGTTTTATTAAATTTATTTCCATTGTTCTTAAATGTTGACCTAAGTTTAGCAACAGAATGAAACACGACTAATTCACTCATAATGATAAAGACCACCCTTTACAAATAAAACTTATCTTGGAATGAATACAGTCCATTTAACTTCAAAATTTTCAAGGCACTCTACAGTGTCCTAGGTCTAAAAGAGTATCTCATTCTATACCATATAACAAAGAATCATGCAACTATGTGACATTAAGAGGAAAATAATGACAAAAGATAGTAGTTAATATCACTTGGGATTCTCAAATGTCAAATGTAAGAGAATAAGTAATGGTTTCTAATATAGCATCACCAAGAAATGAAAGGAGAAAGCATATATGGTTCAGGCTCTCCTTTCCTACCCTACAATTCTCAAAGGAGTAAACTTTGCTGACAACCACCCATTATTCGAAGACAGAAGTGGTCACTAAAAAAAACAACAAGAAGATCCAGAATAATTCAATTTGTGGCATTTCATTAAATGGTTTTGTTTAAATGTTCTTTTTCTTCAACCCTTCACGAGGTACTGATTGATAGACCTAAAACTTAAGCATCCAGGATGAATACAAGAAACAAAAGGTTACACCAACTAGCAAATTCTATCAGAGGAGGAAACTGACCAGAGGTTGCAAGTATTGGTTGTAACAACTGCTCGTATTATATCCTGCTCTGCTTATGGCTGTGGGTTTGCCTGCAGATTGCAAAAGATGGATGCAATTGGAACCAACCATATGAGAACGACAAGTAGAAGAAAAATACTTGAGAAAAAAATGGGATTTCTTTTAACAAGGTGAGCTTCCAACAGACAGACATTAGCTAAATAAACAATTGTAAATTTCAGTGCATACCTCCGGAGAGTTGTTTGAGTATCAAAACTCCGATTCTTGAAACTCTAGAAGCAAACATAATCAATTGTCGAACCTCTCCTCTTACTAAACCCTAAACTCCAACAGAAAAACTGCAAACACAAAAACAGCTCTCCTCTTATAATTCTTTTCTTGTTTTTCCCAAATGGCAAAGAAGAAGAAAATTAAAAGAGAAGCAGTGGGCTCTAGAAACAAGCATAGCAATTGGGTAATTCGTCAAAGTTAAAAATAGCTGGGGCCTCAGAAGATTTTATGAGCCAAGAAAGATGTTAGTAGAGAATGGGCCTCAAAAGTGAAAGTGAAGTTCCTACTTGGTTTATTTATGGTTAAGCGAAGCCCAAACCTCCTCTCTCCTGTCCTCAGCTGACGGATTGATTATATTTGAATTATAGCCGTTGGGATCTCAACGTCTACTTTTCTCTTTTCTTAAATTTTTGTTGCCAATCAACGGCTACTTTTCTAATACAGAGTTCTTTAAAACTTGAATATAGCCGTTTAGAAATTTCATTGTGATAAAGCTGGTCATCCGCTTAGCTCTTCTTTGCATTTCATTTGAAAGTGAAGAAAGAACCTGAGAGAGATATCTTGCAGCTGATTGATTTCTTGCCTAATTCTCGCTCATTCCCAAAAATAAGCAACCGAAGTGCTTGCAGCTCCTCCCACTCTGCATTTGGCAAAGGTAGGCAAAAATTCTCTTCAAACTAATCCATTTCGACAATTTCCTTTATAATATAATCTAGTAGTAGCTAGTTAAATGAATTAAAAAGGCAATTTTTGAATCTGGGTATAATATAATCTAGTTTTGTTTAATTTGTCCAAATCAATTAAAAATGCAGGATCTTTGGCTTCCAAGTTCCAACAAACTTAAAAGGAAAGGAAAGGGAAGGAAAAGAAAAGGCAAGAAAGATGAACGACCTGATGACAAAATCCTTCACCAACTATGTGGATCTAAAGAAAGAGGCTATGAAAGATTTGGACCTTGAAGCTGGGCATAATAATGTGGAGATGTCATCTTCCACGACCCATATGCACACCGACCTTGGTCTGTTCTTGGAAGAGGCCGAGAAGGTGAAGCAGGAGATGGGTTCTGTCCGGGACATTCTGGGCCGTCTACAGCAAGCCAACGAAGAGAGCAAGTCCCTCCACAAGTCTGAGGCTTTGCAGTCCTTGCGCAGCAGAATTAATGCGGACATTATGACGGTGCTGAAGAAAACCAGGACTATCAGATCTCAGCTGGAGGACATGGACCGCGCCAACGCCGCCAACAGGAGGCTCTCCGCCTACAAAGAAGGCACCCCGATTTACAGGACCAGAATTGCCGTCACCAACGGACTGCGAAAGAAGCTCAAGGAGCTTATGATGGATTTCCAGGGCCTGAGGCAGAGGATGATGACCGAGTACAAGGAGACTGTGGGGAGACGCTACTTCACGGTGACTGGAGAGCACCCGGATGAGGAGGTTATCGAAAAGATCATCTCGAATGGGGATGGAAACGGCGGCGAGGAGTTTCTTGGGAAGGCCATACAAGAGCATGGGAGGGGAAAGGTGCTGGGAAACTGTGGTGGAGATACAGGACAGGCACGACGCGGCGAAGGAGATTGAGAAGAGCCTGCTGGAGCTGCATCAGATATTCTTAGACATGGCTGTGATGGTGGAGGCTCAGGGAGAGCAGATGGATGATATTGAACACCATGTCATGAACGCTTCCCACTATGTGAAGGATGGAACCAAACATCTGACGACTGCCAAGGGATACCAGAGGAGCAGCAGGAAGTGGATGTGTATTGGAGTCATAATCCTGCTGCTGCTCATTCTTGTCATTGTCATCCCCATTGCCACTAGCTTCGCTAATTCTTGAATTCAATTGGCAGTACTTTGTGTTTGCTTCAATTGCTTGTGTTGAGGCCTTGGGGAGGATGTTAATGCTGTTTAGTTTCATCTGTGGACTTGTTCTTTTTCTTTTTCTTTTTGTTGGGTCAAATTTCATCTGTGAAGTTGGATATGTTGCTTTGGTTCATTCTTTTATTCATGGAAATATGATTAAAATATTACTATTGGTATTTTAGTATCACTTTCATCTCATACAATATAAATAATTCCACCTAAACCCTAATATTAGCTATATCTGTTTTGATATAGCCAACCAGACTTGACAAACCAACTGACTTAGCTAGCTCAGCTAAAATGTCCAACTCAGCAACATTGACTAAAGTACAGACTCCTCCCTATGGACACTCCACAAGGATCAAAATTTGGAAGTTTTGACCAAAATTAGCATAGCCAATTTCCTAATTATTTGGGCAAATTCTATAAGCAACCAAGGCCCAATAAACAAAACCCATTGAAATGGTCAAACGTTCACCAAACTAGTCAACCACATGTCTAAGGCCCAGGCCCATCCAACAAAAGTCAACTCTAAATTATAAACATTGACCAACGCATGGTCAATCAAGCAGACCACGACCCGTCGGACAGAATGTGGGTCTGACATAGTAAGAAATTAATTAATGTAATTATAGCCAAGATGAATGGTTTTAAATACAAATTGTGGTTAATTTAGAATACCCAGTTCATTCTTACACCGCAAATAATTAATTAACATACTTTAAAGTAATATTTCAAACCATGATGTTGCCCCAATCTTTGATTTGTTTCCACGAAACAATACGGTTGGACTGAGAATGCATAAAGGCCTAACAAAAGGACTCTCCGAGTAAAATGGGTTTTGGGCCGTTCAGAATTAGAAAACTAAATGTCCAAAGATTGGGGCCCAATGTCAATCTTCTCCAAAATATTTGACTTTCCCATAAAACTGTTGTTAAGCAACTTTTACCCGGTTAATAGTGTGAGTACCCAAATTTGAACTCGAAGTTGATTTCGACAGCTGAAGAAGACTCAGGCGGCAAAGAAAGGTTGAGCAACCACATTAAATGTGATTTAAACCGTTAGACTCATCATTATCAACTTGGTAAAACACGGCTAAACACGTGGATCAAAGTAAAATCAAAGTCCATCATTTCACTTGCAAAGAAAGAATAGGTACAAGGGTGAGACATCTCTTAATGGAAGCAGAACTTACAATCCAAAGGACAGCCAATCCTAAGAACAAACAACCCAATTTGAACAATATTCAAATGCCCTCGACTCGAACACTTTGTCAAAATATCTCACAACAGACCAAAGCCAAGACTTGAAGCAAATCCTCTCATATTATTTGAGTTCCCAATTGACAACTCCTGATTGGAACTTCTCCCCAAACACATGATTTGTTTAATTCTCAGTTGACAATTCCTTGGAATTACATTGCTATTGTTTGTAACTCTAATGCTCTGCCAACTTTATTGCTTGGTATGATTTTAGAAGTTGGTCACCAATTCCAGCATCTTTAAAATCAAATTTGTATATATAACATCTTATATATACTGCATATATTGTTGACAAAATCTCATTGGACACATTGCACTATCTCAAGTAGATTACATTGGTGTCCAAGAAAAGTTGTTTCTGTCCAATATGGTTCTCCTGGGCCTTGTTAGACCTTTTATTGTTTTCATTTGAATTTATTTAGGTATACTTGGACTTGTATTTGCTTTCTTGTAACTGCATTGTATTCATCGAACACTTTTTACCTTTAAACTTGTATTGTACTTTATGTCCGATATCTAGTTAAAATCTCCATTCCTTTTGAGTTTTATTCCATAGCAAGTGAAATATTGAAGTCCTCTTAGTTGAGGCTTAGAAAAGAACCTATCCAAGCCAGATTCCCCACTTGGAGAACAGTGGTTTTGGTTAGAGGTTAAGATCAAACGAGCGCAATACATTCACTACAACATTTCACCTTTTTCTACTAGGAGAGTGAAACATTAATAGTGGCACACCTAACGCACTTGAGAAAGACCAGTATCTAAGCCCATTCTAGGGCCCAATCTTTCATTTCTTGACCAACAAGTAAACCATAGTAGCCAAAGTATAGCCTGTTAGAAACCTAGGTCATCGCAGTGTTCACCAAAAGCCCACAAATACTTTTGGCATGTACAAAGTTATAGTATTCTTCCCAAGTAGCCTATTCTTTGGAATGGTGATGTCCAAGCCCTATCTGTGATAACAAGCAATGACAAAAAAGGAACAATAGTTAGGCCAACCAATATGCCACATATCAGTGTTCATTAAACTTAATTAGGTTGCAGTACATGGAATGGATGCGAAGCTAAGGATTTGTGCTGATATGACACCAATCTCAAAGCTCAATCAGCCCTAACTTTTGAGTGACCCAAGGCTATAAATTAAAATGAGACCTTTTGTATGTAATCATAGTTTAACATGGAAATGCTTTTTTAGCACATATATTTATAAAAAAAAACATAGTAGTTTCATTCAACTACATAAAATCATAAAACATAAAAACAAATAAAAACATCATATTGTTGACAACAACAACAATAACAACAAAAAAAAGAAAAAAAAAGCATCAAACCAGAAATACTATAAATTTTTCTTGAAGGAAGTGTTGGATTAATTGCATATTTGCTACTCCAAACAAAATTAATAATTTTTAAAAATGAGGCCTTGTATTGTTAAAGATTTGAAATCATTTTTATTTGGACTCTTATATTTTTGAATTCTTAAAAAATCACTTTTTATATGGGCCTAAATAATTATATATAATATATACATATATTAAACTTTTTGGGGCCTCTTGGTCCAGGGCCCTAGGTCGTCGCCCTTGATCTCAAGTACACAAAACACTTTCATTTGATTCTAAGCAGCTGTCATATTAGGGTTTTAACTGTAGAGGTCCCTAAACTTCACCTCGAGTTGCATTGGGTCTCCAAACTTTTTTTGGAGGCAATTAGGTCATCCAACTCTCTCATCTGTTTCAATTGAGTCCTTCGGTCAATTTGGCATTAATTTGATGGCTAAAACCGTCCATCTCAATTAAAATATTTTAAAATTTAAAAAATGAAGAAAAAAAAACTGAAAAAGTGCAAAAGTAAAAATTAAATAATAAATAAACTTAAAAATAAAAAATAGAAATCCAAATCTCTCTCTCTCTCTCTCTCTCTCTCTCTCTCTCTCTCTCTCTCTCTCAAGTCACCCTCTCTCCTGCAACACATTCCCCCTCCTCCTTATCCCACCCCCTCAACACCTAGATCCCAACCCAACCTACAACCCACCCCCCATCTCCCGCAACCCCAACCCCTCTCCCCTCCAAAAAAAGATGCAAAGTGTTCGATTTTTTTTTCTTTTTCAAATTTTGAATTTGCATAGAGAGAGAGAGAGAGAGAGAGAGAGAGAGAGAGAGAGAGAGGATCTGGATGGGTCTCAAGTGAGGCTGGGTGGATCTCGAGTGGGGACGAGGGTGGTTGTATGGTAGCGTTGGGCTTGGGGTTTTTTGAGTTTTGGGGTTTTGCCTCTGATGGCTTAATCCTTCCTAAAAGTCGAATTGTGGTTGTTGAGTTTTGTGATTTTGTGGGGTTTTGGCTCTGATGGTTTCACTCTCATAACCAGGATCGTTGAGTTGGGGGGGTTTATGAGTTTTGGGCTTGGTGGGAGAACAGGGACAGAGCCAGCTAAGGCTCACTGGGTGCATATGCCCCTTGTTGAGGCCCAAAAAATCCATGGTTGGGCATGAATAAATTATCAGCCCAAAACGACACTCCATTAAGGAAAAGTGTAAAGCGGAGTACACGAAAACCCGCCACATGCGAGTTGTAGTTCACGTGCCATGCTAAATAAATTAGCCATGCTAGGGGTTGAGATAAAATATACCGGCTTTACAAGCCCATGCCAAACTTAAACATCGCAGTCCTTCCCATGGACGATAAAATTAAAACATGCCAAGCAACATGCCATGCCAAGCACAAAATCATTATCTCACACCCAACCACGCTACAAGCCTAAGTGGGCCCAAGCCACTCAAATGCCCGGGGCTTGCTTGAGTGGGTTGTGGTATGGATGGTAATGAATCAACATGAGGCCCATTGATGGGCCGAGAAATGGAAAGTCTCGGGTTGCTTGGGAGTCTCGAGACTCAAGCCCATTTTTTAGGCCCAAACATGTGGGTGAGCACAAGAGAGAAAAATAGACCAATAGCCCAAGCAAAATAGCCTATTGACACAACCCGAAAGCCCAATGTTTAACAAAAATAGCCCACTTTCTTAAGGAACCACTTGGCCCATGCAAAACTCCAAAATAAGCCACAAAAGCCTCAGCCCTTTGTTGGAAAAGTAAAAGCCACGTAGAAAAGGGTCTGCAGGTTTATTGAACAGACCTACTGGGAGGGAGCAAGTTTCAAAAGCCAAAACATGCAAGGAACCAAGGGGCATTAGCGTGAAACACTCTTCGAACCAGCATATATATCCCAACTCCTTTTCCCATCAGACTTAGCCATGGAAAAAAGGAAAGAAAGCAATAAAAGAGATGGCTGGGAATGGAAGTCTGCCATTGAGACAGCTGCGGGAAAAAGGGGCCTTGAGCTTCAAAAACTCTGATCTGGTGCAAATAGATAGAAGAGATTTCATCAAAATGGGAAAAGCCATGGGAGGAGATAGAAAGGAGGGAAAAGCTTAGCCAAAATGGGTAGAAGCCATTAGGGTTTCTTGAAAAATGGTGGTTTCCAGCGGCTATAAATTGAGGCTTCTCCTACCTAACAAATGCAACCCACGCCTAGAGAGCAAGCTTCCTCTCATACCTGCAAAAGCCCAGCAACCTCGTGCACTATTCACCATCTTCTCCATTCTTCTCTTCTGGCAGACAGAGTATCTGTCAAGCTGCCAGAAGAGCAGTGTTCTTTATTTCTCCCTTTTCTTAGCCAAATCTCTCACAAAACTTCTCCTTTCTTACCCTAACACTTCCTCTTCCCTCAAAGCAAGCCTAAATTTCCTCTTAGTGCTAAACTCATGTTGATTTTGCTTCCATGCCACATGCCTCTCATGCCAAGCTTAAAATTTTATCTGTAAGCATGCATAAATTATCTGTAAGTTGCCATTGTTTTGTTTGGTGAAGGTAACCAAAATATTTCTTAAGGCTCTGCTGCCCTTTCGAAGTATTTTTGGGGCTTAATTTTTGAACTCAAGCAAAGGGGACAATTTCATCAGTTTGCCCTTTTACGGTAGCCCAGCCCATTTTAGCTACCGGAAGAAAAAGTCCCCCACACCCCTACTCATCCACTCGAAACCATGAACCTAAACCCATCAATTGATAACAAAATTCATTCACACTCCCCAAACCATATCTCTGCCAAACCCACTCAAATTGTTTTCTTTAGTTTCCCTTGTTATTATGGTATAGACCAGAGCCAGAGGTTGCTAGGACGGTACCTCATGATTCTTGCTTTCTACTGCAATTTCTGCAAATTCCGATCTTGTTCTTCCATGGCTGAATTTAATGAGGTTTGCCATTTGCGATTTTGTGTTTCTTTTTCTCTACTCTATGTTTCATGTTTCTGATTGGAACAAAGCCACTGGTGTGGCTTCCGGGAATTATCATAAAGCTCCAATGGCTGTTTGAATTTGAGAGGTTGGGTAAAGAGATTGAGGTGAGGGTGGTTGTGGTTGCCAAGGGTTGGGTAAAGGGAGAGAAAGAGGAGGATTAAAAAAATTTAGCCTTGCCTTGCTTTCGGTTGTCACAGCTCTGTGCTCAATGCTCTTGTACTTTCCATTGCTCCATATCTGTCAAAGCAAAAACAAGTATGAAGCTCAAAGAAAAAAATATATTATTCTTCTCTTTTATAGTTCAATTAGGATTACTTTGCATTTGGTTTCACTCACTACTGAAAGAGTGTTGACCGCCAATTATCATTGTGAAGCTTTAATGAGATGCCCCGTTGAAATTTTTTCTTGCTCCGTCCCTGGTAGAGAAGGCTCTGAAGATGGAGGTGGGGGGTGATTGGGGTCGATGATGGATGAAGAAGGTGGAGTTGGGGTCAATGATGAATGAAGAATTCGAAAGGATGCTTTTACCCCCTTATTTTGACGGACAAATTGACAGAGTTAGACGATAGGACCCAATTGGAACGGTTTGTGGAGTTAATAGATGTAATTGCCTCAAAAAAAAGTTCGGGGACCCAATTGCAACTCGAGGCAAAATTTAGGGACGTCTATAGTTAAAAACCAATCATATTATTTCCGCCCATTCCTAAGACTCTTAATATTAGTTGTGTGTGTGTGTGTGTGTGTGTGTGTGTGTGTGTGAGAGAGAGAGAGAGAGAGATATATATATATATATATATATCCTAAGTGTTCTCTAGTTTTTGGCAGATATGTTGTATATACCACATATTTGGGATGGCTTTGATTGTGCCTCATCTTGCGGCCCTGCTCTTTGATGTGTTATTGTTTGGTCATGAGAGATATATTGTTCATTGGTTTGTTGAGGGTGTGGGAGCAAATATTCTGGCTTCCAATCACAATGTGCCACGTGGACAAGAAAAATATCTCATAGGTCAATTAATTGAGCCCATTTATTTGGCCAATTAATTGATACTAAAAATAGGGATATTATCTTTATTTGGGAATATAATCACCAATTAAAAGATAATATCACCAATTTAGGATATTATCTTATTTTGGTGATATTATCACCAATTAGTGATTTGATCCCAATCAAATCCCTAATTGACACAATCTCCCTGCAACACATAGCCACATTCAACACATGAGGTAATTCCAAAACCAAGCAAATATCCCTGAAACCTCTCTCTCTCTCTCTCTCTCTCTAGCCGACGACCTCCCTAGTTGCCATCCTCTCCGATTTCATCTCTCCCACACAGCCAAGTGCCGCCACACACGGTTCTAGCCACCTGGCTCTCCCCGTGAGAGTAAAATTCCGTACCTTTTTTAGCTATTGTTTCTCAAAGATTTAATCGAACTAACTTAGACATCGGAAGGCCTTTGGCTAACACCTACCGGATGTGGTCAATGATGATATAGGTGGGGTGATTGGGGTCGATGATGGATGAAGAAGGTGGAGTTGGGGTCAATGATGAATGAAGAATTCGAAAGGATGCTTTTACCCCTTTATTTTGACGGACAAATTGACAAAGTTGGACGGTAGGACCCAATTGGAACTGTTGTGGAGTTAATAGATGTAATTGCCTCAAAAAAAAGTTCGGGGACCCCAATTGCAACTCGAGGCAAAATTTAGGGACGTTTATAGTTAAAAACCAATCATATTATTTCCGCCTATTCCTAAGAGTCTTAATATTAGTTGTGTGTGTGTGTGTGTGTGAGAGAGAGAGAGAGAGAGAGAGAGAGAGAGAGAGAGAGAGAGAGGAGAGAGAGAGAGAGAGAGAGAGAAAGAGAGAGAAAGAGAGAAAGAGAGAAAGAGAGAGAGATCATAAGTGTTCTCTAGTTTTTGGCATATATGTTGTATATACCACATATTTGGGATGACTTTGATTGTGCCTCATCTTGCGGGCCTGCTCTTTGATGTGTTATTGTTTGGTCATGGGAGATATATTGTTCATTGGTTTGTTGAGGGTGTGGAAGCAAATATTCCGGCTTCCAATCACAATGTGCCACAAAAAAAATATCTCATAGGTTAATTAATTGAGCCCATTTATTTGGCCAATTAATTGATACTAAAAATAGGGATATTATCTTTATTTGGGAATATAATCACCAATTAAAAGATAATATCACCGATTTAGGATATTATCTTATTTTGGAGATATTATCACCAATTAGTGATTTGATCCCAATCAAATCCCTAATTGACACAATCTCCCTGCAACACATAGCCACATTCAACACATGAGGTAATTCCAAAACCAAGCAACTATCCCTGAAACCTCTCTCTCTCTCTCTCTCTCTCTAGCCGACGACCTCCCTAGTTGCCATCCTCTCCGATTTTCATCTCTCCCACACAGCCAAGTGCCGCCACACACGGTTCTATCCACTTGGCTCTCCCCGTGAGAGAAAAATTCCGTACCCTTTTTAGCTATTGTTTCTCAAAGATTCAATCGAACTAACTTAGACATCGGAAAGCCTTTAGCTAACACCTACCGGATGTGGTCTTTTACTCTTCTTTGTTTCGTAAGAACCGAGAAAGATAGATAAGGAAGCTCAAAAGGTGAAGAATCTACACGAGAATATTCTCCCGTGAGAAATTTGCACAAACAGAGGCCATGGAGTGACTAGATGGTGCTCTCTACGTTATGTCCCAAAGGAAGATTAACGACATTTGTTTTTCCTTTTTGTCAGTGTTAATTTAGTTCTTTAGTTTTAATCTTGTTTGTTCAAAAAGTTCAGAAACTCTATTTAGCTGTATATGTTATTTTTCTCTCATAATTTTAGAAACTTTGTTGAGTTTGCTGAGTTTTTCTCTACATATCTTTTCAGCTCTTCGGCTAGAGAAGGTTTACCTATGTCCGCTGCTAATGAGATGACTCCATTTACAATATTTGTTTTTTTTACTTTTTTTTTCATTGATCTAATAAATTTCTGTCACTATTTATAAATAAATAAAAAAGTAGTAGCCAAATTGTTTATTTTATTTTATCATTAATTAATTTAGAAAAAGTGGTTTATTATTATTTTTGTTTATGTGAAATCCACATAAGCCAAAAAACATAAATACAAATTTATAAATAAACCCAATCCTAGACATGTATTTATAAAAAAACCCAAGCACTATTTAAACATAGAAACACACCCAAAATCAACCCCAAAGTCAACTTTTTGGGTGTGTTTATAAATGGATTTTGAGTGTGTGTAATGATGGGTTTTGGATGTGTTTATAAAGTGTTTTGGGTGTTGGATTTTTTTATAATTTCAACCTCCATTTTTGATGTTTTAGTGAAACTCCCAAACATAAATTGGGCTTACATCTGCCAGGGGTTTTTAGAAGTTCTTTTTTTTAGCAGAGGTTTTTAGAAGTTTGTCTAGTAATATAAAATGACTGAAAACTTGGTTCCCTGTTTGTGGGGCTTTCTCCTCCTTGCTCATTAAAAAGAAGAAGAGCTTTTACGAATAGAAAGGTCCAGCAAAAGCGAAAGAAGAAAGTAATACATGGGCCCAACCCCAACCCCAACCCAATCCTAGTAGTGAAGTGAGAAAGCACATTTCCAACAACTGAGAGTATGAGAGAGAGAGAGAGAGAGCGTGCAGGATTTGGAAAAATCTTCTTCTGCCTGCTAACTCTATAACCGCCTACTAGTCTCATTACATCAGTCTGGGATCTTCATCATCTCCTCTCCTCCAACCAATTTGTTTAATTCATTTCATTAGGTCAGTTACAATTACATTACATTACATATGAATCATCACGCTTTATACCAGTCAGTCAGTCAGTCAGTCAGTCAGTCGGTTTCTCACTCAATTATTTTGTCAATTTTCTTTTGTATATTATTTTATTATTATAAACTCCAACAAGGCTGCTTGCTTGAATCTTGAATCTTGGATATCCTTGAATCTTGAATGAATGTTGATGGTGTCTTCCCTTCTGCCTTTGACCAGATAGATAGACAAAGCAAAGACATCTGCTCTGCTCATATTTTTACTTGGAAAGACAACAACGAAGAAGAAAAGAGATCAGATATCAGATATCAGATATCAGAAGAGATGGGTGCGATTAAGGCAGCTGTTGGAGACACTGTGCTCACCTTCTTGTGGATTTCCTGCGCATCGACGCTTGGACTAGCCACCAGCTTCATCGCAAATGCCGTTGGGATTCAGGACCTTCCATGGCCGCCGCTCTTCATCACCACCGCCCTTGTCTTCGTCCTTGTGTTTGTCTTCACCTTCCTCGGAGACGCCTTGGGTGGGGCCAGCTTCAACCCCACTGGCACTGCCTCCTTTTACGCCGCCGGCCTTGGCGCCGACACCCTCCTCTCCATGGCCCTCCGCTTCCCTGCTCAGGTCACCTCACCCTAAACCCGAAGCCTTCCTTACTAATTAATCTCTCTC